GATACATTGTGTATTATTTGTCAATTGACAGGACCTCGCGGACTCCATGCAAATTTTTTCTATTGCATTTTTAGCTGCCATTAGAGTTTCAATCTTGACTTATTTTGAATAATGATGAGTCTCGCGCATTTGGCCATGGTATATACATGTCGATTTTCAAATGTTCAAATTCACGAAATGTTTGATTTTTATGGCTCTATCATGTCTACCCTGCGAGTAGAGGTTTCTCTCTTGCATGGCTTTTAGCAATTGCAAAGTCGTTCCCGTGGGCGTAAACAAAGCAACTACGCGCAGACACTGAGCCATGCAAACGACCTACAGTAGCAAATGCTAAAAGCCATGCAAGACAGAAACCTCTGCTCGCAGGGAAATACATGTCTAAATAGTGCTTTTGCGATTTGCAAAACTAAGCGGTTCTCGACGTTATGCCAAAGTTTTAATTTTCATCACAACGTCTAGACTGAAGATAATTTTGCACTTTCTTCGCTGATAGTTTTTTTTTTTTCACGCTCCAATCAACACGATTTGCCGTTTGTGAAAGATGTCGGACATCAAGAGTTCGTATTTCTCACAGACCTAATGATTCCTTTAGCGTTGCTACTGTTTATCTACTTTTCGCTATTTCAAGGTTAAAAATAATCTTCAGTTTCTTTTAAACTTAATAATTCGACCGTCTGGTGGACTGAATAATGAACTTCCCCAGGTGAAATGGGCTCCTGACAATCCATATTCCCGCACCGGCCCCGAGGATACATTTTGGGAGTAATTTAATCTAACAAAAATTAATTTCGCCTTCAGCAAACATGTATTCGCTTGTTACGACCACACAGGCAGGAGTCGATGGTACAAATCGATCAGCAAAAACTAAGTAGACGGGTGTCATTCGCTTACTATTTCGCAGCTTCTTCTTCTTTCTTTACAGCCGTCGCTATAAAATTAGACTATTTTCTCGCGTTACGGGCAATATTTAAATTACATCTACCCAGTGTGTTACGAAAATCAACAAAATCCTAGCCTTTCATTGTTCTTAATAATCTTATAAATTGTCCAGTGCGTTCGATTTAATATTCTAAAAATGGCGGTGATTCAGCTGAGGCCGATCTGAGCGATATGGGGTAAAATCCTCCTTCAATTTGGGGGTTACCTGCCTACTGCCGACAGAAAATTATTATTAACACTCTCTTCGGGTTTGATAATAAAGAACAAACCGTATCCAAATAGACTGGCCTCAGGTTAGTTATAAACAACGGCATATTTAACTGTAAAGAAAATTGTCAGGCTAACAGCAAATTCAGGAGCTGTTAACGAAAACGAAGATCTGTGCTTTATATGGTACATGCGTTGTAAATCACTTGACGCGCGAAAATTAACTACAACCGTAGAATGTTTAGCCACAATCATGGAACTGGTGAAACAACTTATAAATCCTTACGTACCTGACAATGAAGCTGTGATAGCAAGCGTATAAAACAGTGTTATCAGACTGTTCATTTCGTTGTCCACATCCAATAAAATCATCTGTTTTTTGTTTTTTTTTGGAGCTAAATTAATTTTCACAGAATGCTGTTCTGACTATATTGACTCGGACAAGATATTAAATGTTTTGTTTTCGCTTGCAACTCGATTTTCTGCCTTTCCAGCGTCTTATCACAGCAAAAATGCGTCTTTTTGAGGCAATCTTTACTTTACAGAATGTAAAAGATAATGGCTGTAAAATGGTCGCTAGCGATTGTTTGACTTGCCTCCCAACTGTCTCTGATCATCAGAAAATCCTTTAAGGTTTTTCTTTGAACGCTTGCATCAGAATAAATTTCCATATCAAGTGCCGACCCTAAATTAAATATGGGAGCGAACAAACAAACAATCTGCAGCCATTTTTTCCGTTTCTTTTTTTCATCGAGAAATATAAAATCTTAATAATATATGTGGTACATGGATTGGTATCTATTGCCCGCCTTTTTGCGATGACAGCTCCGAACTGACTCTTTTCTCACTGGATTATAATCGATTATCATACTCCGACTTCATAGTTAAGTCTATGGTAGACAAAATCAGTGGCATAGATGGAACATCGAGAGGTTCTTTCTTTAGGGCATTAATTTAACAGTCGGCATATGAACAGTTTTTGCGAAATTAAACCACACAATAAATTCTTATTTCTTTCTTTTTGAGGCACGAAAAAGTTGCATGATGCAATTGACAATTTATCCGAACGTTTGACAGTAATCCTTAAAAAGGATTATTACCATGGAAACCTAGCTCAATTTATTCCCTGCCCACGCAAAATTTAAGGCGAAAATGTCTCTCTCCACCGCGCAGAGGCGTCTTTGTGACGTAGTTATTGCCATTTTTATTGGATACCTAGCGGGAGCATATGAGGAGGAGCGAGCGAAAATGTCAGGAACCCTTCTATACGCTCAATCACTGACCCTTTTAGTTAGACTAAAACAGAGAAGTAAACGATTTGGCCAGTACAATTTGCGGCTATGCCGAATATATACGTGACCGACTGAAGGCAAACATAAAATATCAAGACGCCCCTCGCACTACAGCTGTTTCATGACTGATATTACGACTGTAAATCGAATGCGACACTGCTCTGCTGCAGGTGGTTAAGTTGTCGCTTTCATGAATCCTCACTATTTTTCACATATAACAGGAAGCGGCGTCTGATATGGCCAGCGAATGAGGCCGCCACGCATGCATCGCTGGGTACGTTTCGCGAGCGGCGGCTGTATTTCCAGGTTACTTCTGATAGCAACAGTTCAGAAAGATGAGAGACGTGTGAACCAGACCACGCGGGATCTCCGTTCCTATTTAAAAGGGAAAAAAATTACGAAACAACCGCAGAATAAACGTTTGCAAACAGCTTTTATTACAAGACTATGAAGAATGAAGTCTGTGGATAAAACCGATCATTATCAGAACTGTACCCAATCTTTATAATTCTGTGAACCAAACAGTGCGAATACGATTCAACACTTTCAAAACAAAACGAATCATCGATAGCACTTGAAAGATACTACGCATGTAAGTTCTGACTACAAGAGTTATGTTGATAGCAAAATGGTTATTAAAAAGTTAAGGTTAAGTTTGTCAGCGACAACTGGGTGATTAATCATGAAGAACGATATTGAGTGCAAAATGACATGGTGGAATTCAGAATGACAAGAAAATAAGGCATCGACAAAAAAGGAATGAAAAATAGAAGTTCCGGTAGGACCACCAAATTAAGGCTACGCTCACCTGTCGCAAGTTGTTAGGTATTCCGTTCACACGGAACCACGCTAACAGTACGAATGTTTGAATGCAAAAATCGAGGTCAAATTTTTGACTGGTACGGTCGAAAATTTGAACGGCAAGTTGTGAACACCGAGACCAGCAAAATTTTTTAACAGTAAAGGCACGGTTGCGTGGTAACCCAGCTGGGCGAAGCCATTTTGGATTTGCTTAAGTAGTGCTCTGCGCAAGGGCAGATGGTAAAACCTCTGACAGAAGTTAAAATTCCACGTGGTTCGACAGTTCCGTGTGAACAGCGGGAAAAGATTGAACGGTTCAACGTAGCCCAAAGCTACTCTAGACAACACCTACAGTATATTTGCAACAATCTGAACGTTATAGAAGATAATCCAAAAAATTGTATGAAGCATTTACACTGTATAATACTTGCAAATTAGTTTAGACTTACTATTTATACAATTTGATTTCAGTCAGATTAAACTCTTTATATGTATATCACATTGTTACTATCATTACATTGTACACGGTAAACAAAAATAAGTATAACGCTTTAGAGTAGAATGCGGTCATCGGTGAGCGAAATAAGTCGCGATCTGATTAACTGAGTGAAAAATAAGAATTAAAATATACAGCCGATGCTTTTGTGATTTTGAAATATAACGACTTTTACTGAAAATTTCCCGCAACACCACTATTTTTTTAAACAAAATTATAGCAGTGGATTGTTATTTTGTTTTGTATTTTTCTGATTTGTATCGCAATAGCGAGTTAGGTCCCATTAAAGTTACGCGCCATCTTTCGACTGTTATAGATGTGAAATAAAATTGTCCCTATATTAACCACGATCAAAAGTGCTATTCCCAATTCCAGAAACTATAAGTGAATGGGTACAAGCTTTCGGTGCTATGATTTCTGGGATCATTTGGGGGGGGGGGGGGGGGGGGGGGCAATTATGATTATATAATCAATAATCATAAACACTACATCAGCCACATTAACATGCATACTGGCTATTGGTTGTTGGGTGTGGGTGGTGGGGTGAGGTTGGTGGGTGGTGGGTGGGGGGGAGCTGGGGGGGGGGGGGGGGGGGGGGGGGACAAGCACACTCAACCAATCATAGCTTACGCTTCTTTACCCTATCGACCCATTCTGCCTAGAGTTTCTGGAGTGGAGAATTTAGACATATTTTGACTAACCTAGAACATGTTTTGTTCACTGGTAAAAAAAGAAATAACACCAAAAGAAAATGCCGTGCTTAATAGCATTTTTATAAAATGTTTCATCTCAAACCTCCCTTGCTCAACTAAAACCTGGCACAGCTCAATTTCGAAATAAGCTACCGCGATTTGGGTCTACCTCGGTGAAAAACCTCTTCCCTTTTATGCAATTTAAAAGACAATGCTAAGTTTTGGAAAAGAGGGTGCACAAAGTACGCGGTTTCTTGGAACATATATTTAAAGCTAGGACCGGATTGTCACGCAAAGGAAGATTCAAGCACTGAAATCCAGAGTTAGTCTCCATGAAAACTCACAAACTCACTTTACTGTTAACCAGGAAATAAAATAGTCTCCAACAACTCGTCCCTAGTCATTTCAGTATAGAGACTAAAATCAAGGTAAACCAGTGGGCGCAGAAGAGGTGTTGGGCCTTTACCAGTGGCTAAACGATCACTCCAATCCTCAACCTCCACACTAAAACAACATCGCAAAAACAGCCAAAAACAAAACACAAACAAAAACGAACGTGTTTCCTTTTTAAACTCACACATCTGCTCGTCCATTATGTGTTCTTGCCATATCAACGACCACCGAGTGCTCTTTCGCTTTCATTCTTAGCGCCGCAATGCTCGTGGTATGCCGCCCAGAGCACTGTGACGACTCTTCACGTTCGTCACAAAATGTTTTCTGCGTCATGGATCCAGTTGATCCGCGGTAACTCTCACCGGGAGAGTGACATGCGCGTTGTGGAGGAGCATGCGCACAAGGTGAAAGTTGCCTTGTTGGATCATGCTGTGAAATAGTGACATTCGGATGCACGATAGGTGATCTCCTCATTCCGTTCGTTGACGTTGTCATAGCATTGACTTTTACGCAATGCGGAGGGGACTCAGGAGATGGTGATCTTGGTGACTGTCTGTTTGGTGGCAACTGGTGATGCACGTGCAGGACAGGTGTATAGCTTGGAACTGACATGTGATGAGGTAATGGTCCAGCGCCAGGTCCTGACGGATTCATACAACTATTAGAGGGACGAGGCCAAGGGGCCTGTGGATGACGCTCGTAAATAGGCGCCATGCTCATTGCCCGAGCAGGAACTGGGACTGGTGCAAATCTTTCGCGCTTCCTCCACTTGGCCCTCCGATTTTGAAACCATACCTATAAAGAATAATATAAAGAAAGAAAGATAATTATCTTTATAAGAATTAAAGATACAAACTTACCTACTACCCTAATATGCCAATAATATGCTAATATGGTGCAAATATTTATATAATAATGATAATCATAATCATAACAGAGTGATCAACATCAATTTTCTCCACGTAATATCAAGACACCAAAAAAACGTTAATGAGAATTAATACAATGATCAGCAAAGGGAAAAGGGACAATAAGAATAACGTCTTCAAGGAATTGTATAGATATCACTAAGTGGGGAGAAGTTGTAGGTGCATCTCTTGGGGAAAATGGTAAATTACATCAAACAAAATAGAAAAGCAACAAATAAACAAACAAAACCGGGCTCCATTATTAAATTGCAATTTCTGAAAATACGGTTAAACATGGCTGTGTCGTTTGTGATAATTTGGCCCAGTGTGATTGATTACATGGACGCTTATTTAAAGTACAAATACAAGTGCGTATCTGTAGATTAAAACACATCATTTTAATTAGTATATCTTTAATATCTTCGCGAATATACTAAAATATATATTGGCCAAGGGAGGGAAAGATATTTAAGACTTAACCTAATGTGACTGACCATGAGGAAAACCCGGGAAACACCAATAAGAATGTTTCCCACGATCCAAAGGTGAAACTTCCGATACGGACTTCGCGTTTTCGTGCAAAAAAGCCAAACTTTCCAGTTTGAAGGAAAATAAAGTAACCGCATGTCAACGCGTGCAGATTTGTGCCGAGATGAAAGGATTCGCGGCTATCTTTTGTAACCTCTACTCCGGAAATTTGCGTGCTAGCATATATGTGTGTATCTGTCCTTTGAGAACTCCTTGTTCTCTACTGCCAGGAGGGGAATAAACCGTCTAGACTGGCAGACTCCACATGAACTCAAAAACGATGCTGGAGTTAAAAAATGCAAAACGCGCAGCTCGATAAAGCTTAGTCAAAAAATAACAATAACAACAACGAACAACTAGCTAGGACCAATTCCAACTTGTCAGAACAACGAATAAAAATCTTAGTCTCATCTCTAAATACTAAACCACTCTCCGACCACAGAAATAAAAAAATTAAGACCACATGCAGGGACATGGTTACTACGGACACTTTTTTACTAGAAAATTACCTCCTTTCAAGAGCTTTCACTTGGATGATTATCGCTTATATCTGTGCACTAATTATTTTTTTCTTTCACTCCTACAGTTACGTGATACCAGCTTCGATCATGTCAGTTTTTGCATTTCTGCCTCCTTAGATTTTAAAGTTTTTAAGTTATAACTGTGACAGGTTTTTTTAAAGTTATGTTTAAAAACGACTGTGAACATGGAGACGTACTCTTGGCCCACCTCACTGTTTTCAGACACACCATTCGGTGCTTCAAAAGGCTTATGAGTACTTTATTAAAGAAAAGCCATTCCTACAATGATACCGGCTTCCATTGCTCATCTTGTAACGAAACCATTTCCGTTGTTAATTGCAAAAAACAGAGCTGAGAAATCAATACTTTGCTACTGATATTTGTGGTTTGAATATACCTTCCTATGAAAGGGGAAATTTATACCCACTTCAGAAAGTATTTGCTAAAAATGGTACAATTTTTATGGCAGGGCGGAGTGGTTTAGGCATGAGACTCACTCGTTTACGTTTCACATTCTGAAATGAATTGAACTGTTGAAAAGGACTACGTGTTCCGAGGGCAAACACTACACCGAATATAGAGACAAATAAAAAACTAAGCTATTAGATTAATAGGTCGCATAAAATTTAGTTTCTTCGTTAAGAGCCAGACATCTGTTTAGTCACCTACTTGGTGTTCTTTTCACCAAAAGTACCTCTAAAACCAGAATAAATTTAAAACCAAAAGTTGGTTTCTCATTGAAAGAAATATTGTTGGGGGCCTTCACAAACACTTAACTTACACTATTCAAAGATGACGCGAGTAAATATAAAATGTACTTTGTTGCCTGGTTTATGATACAAACAAGAGTTTGGACCCATATTGTTGAATGAAGGAACAATTTCAATGTACCGGAATTTCCTGTGCCGGAATAAATCTAAAACCAAAAATCTGGATCTCAAGATACACTATTCCGGCAAAGATGACACGAGTAAATATAAATTATACCTTGTAGCTTGATTTACGATAAAAACAAAAGCGTTTGGACTCTAATATTGTTGAACGTTAAAAACTGAATTTCAACCAGTTAATCGTTTGCCTAGACAGATACCGGGAAAGATTCTGACTACCTCACCCATTCATTGAAAATAACAAGACCAGCAGCAGAGAGCAAGGGTAATGTAAAGAGAAGAGCTTTCATCTCTTTATCAAATGCACAACTACAAATGGGCAAATATTCAACTCCAGTCTTAAAGGGATCAAAAAATCTAGTCGTAACTAATGCGAATTATAGAAGAATACCTGTCACGAGAATAATCATAAGGTAAATATAGACATGAACTTCAAAATAATGAGGTAACTTTCCCTCAAAAGAGCGGATTGTAAGTCATTGTCGCTACACAGGGAAAGAAGGACGTTTTACACCGTGCACGGCTGCAATTTACTACAAGCACTGCAGCATAAGAAACGATATCTAGATAATAACTCTAAAAATAGAAAATGCTATCTATCATTCGATACACCGCTCTCGTATAGAATGCTCTTGTCTACATTATGTAACCTTTTGCTAAGATGGCTTCTTAGTGAATCCGTTATCATATGATTAGTCTCAGTTTAATCTTGCTCTTGTCGAACAGATGAAGTTCATGTTACAAGGTTATTGCCTGTCTGTGCTTGATTTTGAATCCTGTCCAATACTTGACTATAAAAATGCGTGCTTTTTAATAATCGATCATCATGATTAGCGTGACGTTAGCGAGAGAGGAAATATGTAACATGGATTAACGGAAATCAAAATGATTGCTGAATTAAGCCCTCGTGCGTCTAAGCATGGATTAAAAAATTCCCGTAATCAAGTTATCTATCCGAAGGGAATGTCTGCTATCATACGTCAACTAATCCATGTAAACTTGCTGCGATAAGTTTGTCATTCTAATTCTAACCATGGAAGAACGATAAGAAAAGATATGCTACTCTCAAAACAAAATAATCTTTATATCTTTTCCTCTTCCTGGACCTAAATCGTGTCATAGTACACAAGTTTCAAAAGGAGTGATCCACCGTTTTAAGGGAAAAAAAGGCATTCTCAATGTAAATAGCCATGCTATTAGAGTTAGTAAGTTTTGTTTTTATTTTTTTTGTCTTTGTTGTTTTTGGCTGCGTCACTTAACGATTACTCTGGCTTTGACGTAATAGAGTAATAATGCCCAGTCTTTCTTTCCAAAAACGTTTTGTGGGCTGTGGAACTATTTTTGGTGCATTAACTTGGCGCGTAAGATAAAGGTTCCAAAGCTAACCATTTCAATGAGATATCCGCACTTGACATCTTTCAAGTAAACGGCCATTAAAACGATTTGTAAACACAATCGTATGAAGTAAAGTATCCTTTCAAAAGATACAGAAAAATGATAGCCAACACCAGGAAATAAACATTTTTGCCAACAAACTCCTGTCAGTATATATTTTCCCTTCGCAATCATTATTTTTATTTATTTTCATTTTTTACCTTTTTGTTTGCTTATCACTTGGAAATAATTTGCTGTCGAAGGTTATCTCTCAATAATTAAAAGCGATTGTGTTTGTAATCGTCAGCTTTGGCAATACAATGACGTCGTGCCTTTATTTTGAACACTAAAACCGCCCGGGAATCCAATAAACATGGTTATAAATCTTCAATGTATAATACTCATAAAATTCTTCATAACGGCGCTACAATCTTGAAAATAATCCTTCTCGAAAAGAAAATCCAATCAAGGGTATTAAAACTTATCTGCGCATCCCTTTCAACGAAAAATAATCTCAAGGTTAAAGCAGACAAAACAACTTGAATAACTTTACAAGAAGTTCGGCTGGGATAATGTGTTCTTCTTTCTCAAAGAAGTGGAAGGTGTTGGGTTGGAGGGTGGAGGAGAATACAACGGGCCACTCAAACTGTTAAAACTAAAACTGCAACTACGTCTCTCTTCTAATAAGCGCCCCTCTGTCTCCCTTTTTTCTACAAGCAGATTACACATTGATTGTTGCTTCAGTCTGTTCCGTAACAGTTTAGCTGTAGAGCAAAAATAACGTTATTATCTACGAATACGAGCATGCGACGTGGCGCGATAAGAATTCAAAGACAGCTTCGAACAACAGTACGCATGTTATGGTTGTTTTCATGCACGTCTGTTACGGTGTGATATAATACCACAAAAAACACACAACTTGCATCTGACCACGACTTAGAAGCAAATAAAATACGCACCACCATCGTTTTTATTCTACATTATAGGCGTTCTGAGGGCGCTAAATTAAGAGTTAGCGGTCATTCAATTCAAGGGAAATCGCCGTCTCAGGAAAGAACAGCTATAAAGAGTAATATAATGAAAGTTTAATTTGATTTTTTTGACGTCTTAACTCTATGTTTAAGGATCACACATTAGCTGTAAATATGAGGTGGTTCCCCTTGTGATGTCTTCTGAGAAAATCAAAACTCCAGTCGGTATATTTCCTAATTACTAACAAAGAAAATACCAAGTGAGTATGATAGGTCTTTACAGAAAGAGATGTAAAATCTATAAACAGCTCCCTGTAGCTGGTCCCAGCAGGCCCTCCAATAGTGGGGACGGTGAGAAGCCAATCAAGGTTATAATAATCTGGTTTCCCGTATTTTCCGTCTCCTCCGCCTCGATGACACGATTAATTTGATTAGTACCAATGTGTTTCCAATACACAGTGACACTTCAAATTCGTTTGTCTATAAACGAATCGACGCTGTTACTGCTGGACAAAAACAAGATACTGCCACTTTACTGCAACGATTAACTGTACACTATTCCGTTATAACATACTAAGGAATGAACAAAACAATTTCATGCTCGCTGACGAAATAAAATTTATATCTTTACTATTAAAAGAAAAAAACTTTGGCAAACAACTATTATTACAAGATTCGCAATTTAGAATGCATCAAAGCACATTTCTCGAGAATTCAACAATTATTGGTTGTGCTGGGAAAACGATTCCAGGCTCTTCAGAACCGTAGAAAGGAAAACCGCCAAAAACAATGATTTTAATAAGTGCAACTGAAAAATGGAGATACAAAGTTCACTAGCAAACTTGGAACAGAAAATGAGATATTTTATAAAGTATCATGTTTTCAATTAATGCTATGGAAAAGAATAGAGTAACGTTTATTTTCGCCTGGAACAAATTTTATTAATTAAAGGTTTAAACCTTTTTGTGCGCGGACTACGTTCGACTGCAAATATAGTTGAGAAACGAAAGGACTTCTTATTCATTCACATTTTAAACATGGTACTGTTTACAGTATTCGAAAGAATGCAACCGCAAGTAACAAAAGAAAAACCACCCCAAACAATAACATAAAATGAAACTATAACCGATTATAAACAAAGTAATGACGTTTGTTTTTGCTGGAAAGTACGTAGAATGATTGAAAAATAAAGCATGTCCTATAATCAGCCCACAAAAATAACTGAGCCGAAGAAATCTTGTTTTATGAAGTTTCCATATATCCAGCTCATTGTGATTCACATTTCACAATTTAACCTTATCAATGCCTAAAGTGGCCAAAATCAAATTTCGGCAAAATTTCCAAATTTCATTTTGTGAAACGTTGAAAAACAAATAGTGCCATGTGAAAATACTGGCAAAGACCTTTCATTTGAATGGTCACAAGATAGGATTTCGTCCACAGACTCAAAAGTTAGAACCACTTTGTACAGCATAATAAATACAGTACCACTGGAAAGTACTGCTCAGTAGCTTTCATTTGAATGGTCACAAGCACAGACTCAAAAGTTAGAACCACCCTATGAGACTCCATCATTGAGTCTGACAGTGAAAGGAAGTTGGAAAGGAAGAAGTGCGCTTGGCATAAGCGACAAAAACAATTTAATACTAGAACTTAATACTAGCAATGCAATGAAATAAATCGATGGACGATAAATAAGACGTCATTTTGACTCCATCAAGATATTATGGCATCTGAAGGCTTGTCATTTCCTTGAGACATTTTGTAAAGTGTTCCTGCTTAGAATTCAGTAAATCTGGAAACTCGCAAAGAGGAAAGCTAATCAATCGGCCATTTTATTGCCTCAATGCAGACGCGTATTAGATTCAACCAGCGACTTCTGTGGAGCTGGAAGGTATTCAGTGATTTAAAACGCAACGTTGAACCGCTCATGCCAACATCTACAAGAGACGTAGAAGAAACAATCACTTACGAAATGAAGGGACTTCCACGTCCAAGTTATCTACGCAAAATTCGTTTCATACACTAAGTCAGTAGTCAATAATGTACTCAGAAACAGTTACACTGGCAGAAGTATAACTAAAAGTGACTCCTATATCCAAGTATACTTGGTAAACTAAAGGTGGGAAATTGCATGAACACCAGAGACAGGTCAGGTCAAGCATTAACTTAATAAGAGCCGATTTTGGAACATACAAGGACAAATCATTGATGAACATGAGCAAGACACTGTGTTGATTATAAAAGCAGAAAACTGAAACATATACTTCAATAAAGCACATTTTTTCATGCAAATACAGCAGAGCCTCGATATAAAGAACCTGTATTTTACGAAGTCCTTGGTGTAACAAACGATTATCTGTACCTCAGTAAGAGCAAAATATAGGGAAAAGAACCTCGATATAACGACAACTCCCGAACAAATTTTGCCAATCCTTGACCCTTCGTTATATTGAGGTTCCACCGTATGTTGCGGAGTAATTCTTACTTTCAAGGAACTCTGTCAGGATAATTTAAGCCAATATTTTGAAACATACGTCTAAAATCAATATTTTGAAATAGTAAGAAACCTCAAACATGTGTTAATGGTAAAATAAGAAAAAACTAAAGAAAACACTTAGGATAATTGAGATAATAAGAAAAAGTAGACAAATTTAGGCTACATTTTCCACAATGAATAAATCGTTAACGTACCGAGTTTAGTTCTTTCTTAACCAGTATTTATCACGGTTTTATAAAAGAGACATTTCCTACAAACAATCCAACAATCAGCTATTTACCAAAAAGTCTTCCAACCCGCACGAGACATACTGTATTGAAAACATCCGTCTTTAGTCTGACTTTCTTGTGTTATATGTTATGAATATTTCTTGAAATAGATAAGAAATTTCTGGCAAGCAACGTTTTTACAAAAGCTAATAATTCCAATCTGCTAAAATAGGTTGACTAATGAGTCGAGAATAACTGACACGAGCCGGGAATAGATTCCTCTTTATTTGTTTGTTTGGTTGGTTACTATTAAACATGGTTTAGCAGGAAACCGTGATTATTTATTACGCACATTCCAGTGCTAAGTGTGGCAGAAACAGGGCGACAACTTTAACTGTTTCTAAAAAAGTTCATTTTCCCACACGTTTGCATGATCTGCGCCGTCTGTATCGAAATTTACGTAACTCTGGTGCTTACGACGTCTGCAACTTCAAAATGTGACTATTTATATAAGAAAACACTATTCTGCGAATCCATCATTGTGATGGTAGTCTTGGGGTCACATTTAGCCAGTCCTCAGTCCGGTTAAAAACAATTAACTAACTTTGAAAAATGTCTCTCTATTTTCCTACCGTTCCACGCTCGGAATTATTGTGACTTGCAAAACATTTCTTCAGTCAACTTGACGTTACATGTAGCTATCGATCTTTGTTAAAATTACAGACTGTCTCGCTTAAACAAAGACAAAATGAAAAGGCAAGTAACAGTTTACTAGAGAAGAAAATTTTAAAAGTTTGCAAATAGCAGAGGAAAACAGTGAATTTACCTGTCAATTTTTAATGACGCAAATTTAAAGCCCGTAGAATGCAACAAACGCTAGGATGCAACAGACGTTATTTCTTGTCACTTTCAATAATCCTCTTAGGTCGAAAACTGTGATTATATCTCCTTAATAATCCATAATTCCAGCTTTATTTACCGCATATCCCTCTCTGACCCTGGGCTCGGCGCCAACTTTATGATAGGCCAACCTTCCTTGTGATAACAAGTTTGCATTCTTTCTGGGGATCTAAGTTCACATATGCAACCGTTTTTACACACTGATCTGAATTGTCAGAATTTTCTAAGGTCGCTTTCTTTTTTTTTTGCTTTTTTCTGGCCCAAGACTTTCCCCAAGACTTTTTGCGCTAATTGAAAATAATTTAAAAAAAGCGAAACACTATTATAGCTGCCATTATACCATGTGCTCACGTGGGAACACTAGACTGTACTAAAACAAATTTTCGTTGTTGCCATTATTTACTTTGAAGTCTATGAGTTCATACACGGCTGTTTTCAGATTAATTTTTCTTCAAGAAGCAATTTTAAAAATCTGGTCAAGTTCCTAAAGCGTTACACCTCATTGAAGATAGAGAGTTAAACAAACATTGATTTCATTAAAACAAACGTTTAATGTGCAGTTCAAAAAAAAATCCTGTTAATTAGTAATAAGCTAAGGATCAATAAAGAACATTGTTAAGTGTCGTCATCTATGTTCATAGAAACGTCGATCTCTTATTAAAACAACACACTGATTCAAAACGAAATTTTTTGCGACCTTGGCAACAACACAGAATTTGATGGAACAAAATGTTCAGTGGTGTAACTGAATCCCTACATTTTTTCTCCTGGAAGTTTCCTTTTATAAGAAATAAGGGAATCTTCCAAAATTTATCTTTACGCACAGGGAAACAACATGAGACAAACTTGCCTAAACTGTAATTGTAAATTTTCTTTAAGCAGATTTAATTTCTAAACAACAGAGAGGGATTGACATCGTGCATATGTCCGTCCGTGGGTTTCGTCATTATTTACAGAGAAGGAAAAAACACAGAGAAAGTCCAGTCGTTGTTAACATTCCTTCGTCGATTAAAATTATTATACTTCTTAAGGACATATTTTTTTTTAAATAAATGTTTTCAGAACTTTAAAGGTCGACGGATTTATCTGCATGTATCAATAATAAAAGAAGTAGCTAATTTTTACAGCCTTAGTGTTTCTATCTATTACCTAAACAGATACTGACAAACTGGCTCAACACCCTTCTTCCTGATACTTTACTACATGGATGTGGTCAAAATCGGTATTCTGTTTTTTAGACCCTTTTATCGTAAAATGACAATAAAAAATTCCCTTATTTGTCTGACAGATTTCATCATCGCTAGATGAAAAACTTTGTTGATACTGACTAAATTAAAACTATTACTATCTGTTTCACCCACAGTTTATTTTCTGAAAAACCATTTACAGTTACGGATTTATAGTGGACGAATTCTTAGATCCTAAAACAGCTATCTCCTGAATGTCAAGTTAATCTGTCTACTGAAAGTGGACCCCAAACGATGAACGATTGTTTGTATTGCAAACATCTAACTCGCTAAACACGTAACTAAAAATATCATGCAAGGCCAAAATTGTCCCAAATTAAAGTTAAAGTTAACTACACCTTCAGCAGTTTATTAGTGCTTTTTAGTGAAAACGGTGGAGTAGATAATTATAAGAAAAACGCGGTCATTCTTGAAAACTTACAATCATGATGTTCAGTAAATTTAGCAAGTTTAAATGTGGAGAACAATTAAAAAAAACGGAATTCTTTTGACTATATACCTGTAAATACTATATAAATTTTCTCTGGTGAAGAATGCATAAGACTGGTCGGAAATTCTAAACTAAAGGCAAGTTTTAAAGAGTTTTACTGAATTCCAAATTAAACGTGGAATGATTCAACAACAATCGCAGGGAAATTAGCATAAACATTTTAGTGTGTATGGCTATAGCCAGGAAAAAGGAGCCAAGCTTTAAAAAAATGGAAAAAGTTTACATTTGCAGAAATATTAAGTAAAAAAGCCGCTAAATTTCCAATTTGAATACGCCAGTCAACATGTGTAAATATGGATTTCTGAATGAAAGTCTAAGTAGCCCTTGTAGTGAGGATATTTTAATCAACAACGACCTGCCCAGGCGTAGTACCGTACTGTTGATAAAGATTGATGGCAAATGCTTGGCATATAACGCAAAGAAAAACGAAGAAAGGTAAAAAACGCTAGTAGACTTCCGCCTATTTTATCATTCTCTGACCTCCTATCTTCTCGCATGCCTGACTAGTCCACATTAGGCTTCTGTTCGAATGTCTACTGGAATAAAATATCACCTCAAGACTGAGCGATTTTCGATTTTTACAGCCGACTTAAGAAATTAAACAAGTTCTAATGCTGGTAAAGTAAAGGTGTATCACTCCCATTGCTTATTTACTTCGCTTATCTTTGCTTTATTATCTACAAACGCGAAGAATCCTGCAGAGTTGCCTCGCCTGTTTACAATATATACGGGTGATCTATAAAATTCTATAACTGGCGAATGTATTTTTTGTTTGTTTTAGGCTTTCAACAAAAAGACTCATAAATTCGTTCCATAATGATGAAACTTATAACTCTTCTCAAAATTTGCAATCTGCCGTTTATATCTGTCTCAACCTGTCGAACACACGATAACGCTTTTGGGTGGGTGTGTGTGTTTTTGATGCATTCTGAGCGAGTATTTTAATTACGCCGTTCACAATACAATACAACAATGCTTAATTAGGGCATGGATACATTTATGGCAGGAGACCTTAGCAAGCCCTACTGGGCTTTTCTGAGAAGATCCCCAGTTTAAATTAACAAATATAAACGTGAAAAATAATATGTACCAGAAATCAAACACTGCTAAATCGAAAAATAGTCCAGTTTGAATGAGTCGTTTTAGGCTAAAATTAATATGTACCAAAGGGTATTCTTATTTGAAATAAAACGTGGTTTTCTTGTCACGAGAAACAGGCCAGAAAGATATTCTCTGCAGACACACACCCCAGGCGTGCACGCCCAAAGAGGGTTGTTGAACACAAAGCGTACAGGGGATTAACCCCACTCAGTCCCTAGCTTTGCCGACGGAAAAGCCCTGCAGTTTTTTCAATAAGCAGATAAGTGGTTGCGGGTTGAAGCCGGTTTTGCTTTATCAGGATCAAGATACATCTCCCTTGTTGCAGCAGAGAGGTTTTCTCTTGAAAGCACATTGAATCACCTATAACACTCTAAAGTAAAATGAGCCTTTTAAGTGCAGGCCACGAGAGGAGTACAATGGAACAGGTTAACGACTTCTTGAAGGGTTTGACTTTTGAGGGGAAATAGATCACCCTACTTTTACATTTATTCAGTTTAAGGAATTGCTCCTTCATTTAGTTTGTGCTTGAAATCTTAGCAGTATTATGCAGTCGAACGCTGCTTTTTTCACAGCAAAAACAAGATTCTGTATATAAAGCGTTTATCAAAGTTGTTAAAATTATTTACGTGAACGTAACAGGTGACAAGAAAAAGGGAATTAAGTCCTCGAAGTCCACACATATTTGCGTTCCTCTATCCTTGGACCGCCCCGTGGTAAATCACACCCACAATATCTACTTACTCTACAAATAACTTTTAAAACTTTTCTATTTTGTTTAACTTGCATTATATGACATAAAAATCGTCCATAAAGATCCACATTACGTCAATTACCATTCCCCATTAGGAACTGGCGATCACAAGCTTATTGAGCTAATAAAAGAAATGTTGTTGGCCCCCAGGATATCCAAGATCTATTAGCAACAATAGCATGAGGCGACGACAGCATACTATTTCCGAGAAGGACTTTCAGCTTAATCCCTAAAAACTTAACATTTATGCATTAAATTTTCCAAGACAATACAGAGAAAGCAAAAGCAAGGACGAAAGAAACTTAGTTGAAGGTTTCGCCCACGCGTGGTGAATAAAGTAATCACCATTTTTTGCTATCAAATAAAACTACAGAAAAATATAGCCTGAGTAAGTCCTTGATATAACTTATCAAAAATTAAGTGTAAGATTTATGCAAAGCTTAGCAGACAAGGAGATAAATTATTGCGTGGTTCGGCAAATCACAGAACCAGACAACACACATTCAAGCTTCCGGTGTCACTTTCCGACATATGTCAAGAAAGAACGCTAAAAACACGCGCTTGTCCGATACTGTTCATCCCTTTTCACGGTACTAACCTTGACCGGTTAAAAAAATATGAAATATTTAGTCAGAATTAAGAGGATAAGCAAATATGTCTCAATAGCCGCTATTAATATTTGGCTGTCAACTTTTCTCTAGTTCCCTCGATAAGAAGGAGAAAGTGATACGTTAAAGGCACTCCTGAATGCCGTCTGCTGCGACTTTTAAACATAACAAGTTCCCTTTATTTGTTGACGTTAGAAGTGAAAATTGTCTAAACAAAAGATTTAATTACGAAAAGATATAAAATCATTTAGCGGTCCAGCATAACAAGTTTACAATTTACTTTTGAAGAACAAATAAACAGACGAAACACAGACTGTCCAATGTTACCCCGATCAAAATTTATCAGGTTTCCTTTGAAGTTGCCGACACATTTTTTGCAAAAAATAAATGCACGACATTTCAGAATCAAAGTTTTGATGTAATTTTCTACGCGCAAGTCGAGATAGATAAAATCGGTTTTAAAATAGTAAAGTTTACATGTTCTGTTCAGCGAGAGATAAGTATTTTTGCAAGTTTAATACGAGTATGACAGCTCAATCATCATTCACAACTAGCGATACACATCGAAGTATTGATAGGACAAACACTTCACGATCAAGGGTTAGATAAGCGATTAACAAAGTAAGAATCGAGGGTATCGAAAATTGGACATAACAAGCGCTAGTAACAAATGTTCCGTAAACGGGCGCAATACAGCTTTCCGATAAGCCAGTATCCCAAATGGCGTAAAAAAGCCCATTTACGGAAACGCCTGCCACAAAGACACTGAAGCTGCCATTATGCAAAAGACATAAACCAAGCAGTTGCTCACGCCCTTCTTCAGATCCTCTAAATCACCGCTTATAAAAATTCCACAACAATCAAAATGCACTTGCACCAAATAAATTTACGCTTAGTTCCGCGTCTATTTAATTCAAGAAGTTACTTGGTGATATAAAAACCAAAATTAAAGTTGACCAATTGCACGTAAAGGGAAGGAATTGACTTGGCTATTGTAGTAGTGTATCTATAACTCTGTAGTATCAAAGTTTAGCCTTTATTCGCGTGCCTGGAATCGTGCAAGGATTGCTTTAAGATTATGAAGCTTGAGCTGCCCCTTGGACCAACGCTGAGAGTTAAATGGAGCAAAGTTTTTTTCCTAATGACCGATGAAAGAGGAGACTTTGATAACAACTTTAGCGTGACTTTTCGCTGCAAAGATTTCCCCATTATCCTTTGTGCAAGGGGCACTAATTATACACTTGCTCAGACGCGGCAGAGAAACATCTAGACTGCCGCACTTTCACAAAAATGTTCTTTTGATTCCTTCTCTCCCAAAGTGTAATTTTCGTTCGGAGATCTTTCGATTACTATCACTATTTTTCTGGTTCAGTTTATTTCATTTTCTTGAGTAACGTACAAAATTCTGTTTTCTTTTAAATAATTTATTCCGCCTTAAAATTAAGCTCTGATAGAATTTAGGTGAGACACATGTTTTTCCACCTAGTGATTGTTTAAAAATCTGTTTTAAATAGAAAAAAGTAAGTAAGAAAGAAAGAAAGGAAATAAGCTGCTCAAGCAAACACTAAAGATGTGAAATTAAAATATATAGCTCTGCAGACAATTAATGATTGAAAGCTGAAATCCCTTTTCTCAGAGGATCCATGTAAGGACAATCACTGGAGGCCGGTCTTACGGAAGTTAAATCGTTTCTAGCAGTGAAAAAATGACTTATAGTTTAAACTGCAAGAATATATTTCTGTCAATTCATGGCTCAAGATGATAAAAAATAAGAATGCGTAGCAGACTGTTAATTTGCACGAGTGACGTTTCATTTCCCGACACGAATTCTGTCCATCGTTAAACATCCATGTGTTGCAAGATTACCTTCCTGTGATAAAACCAAATTTTTGATGGCGTTTTCCATGTGGTTAGACCCATCATCCGCTAATTTACAGCATCTTTAGCAAAAACAACCCTTTGTTGGGGGCTGCGATATATCATTTTAGACCACATCTCTAGGCAAGTACTTGTACGTGTTTAGCTCAAAGTAGACCGCTCCAACCACAACTCCTTTGAAGTTCTCATTATAAACTGCAAGAGCCTCTCTTACTTGAAATAATCGGTTACAAGACGTTTTAATGCTCGTGAGAATGAGATCTAGTATTTCTGTGTTTGCGTACTCTGTTCCACATCGGCATAATTTGTAGGCGACTGCCGTTACAGATATTTCCCACAAAAACGAAACCCTCTCTCAGACCATACCTCGCGTTCACGAATAGATGTTTCATGCATCACAGTAAGTATCAGCTACAAACCCTAGCTCACAAGAAAATGATTCATTGACCTTAAACAAACTTACCTTCGATAGTAGAGTAAAGTAACGTAAAGGAAGATATACCACTAAGAACGAATTAGTTACTTATTTTCACTAGTCTACCTATTGGTTTAAAAAACTGCACTATTGCTTGTGCTAAACCCAAATGATCGGGCCCCAAAACGACTTGATACATTCGCTGAATTTAGACCTTAATGACTACTTACTTAACAGCACCTTTCGCTAGGTGATCAGTAATTTATAAATTAACGCAATGAAAATCAAAGAAATACAGTTGGTCTGACCAAGCTAACTTGTGTAATCTCTTTTCGTTATCGCATAGTAACAACGACTAATTGAATTAGTATAACAGGTTGTGTAAAGTGGCCGTACATCATCTGTAAAATGCTTGAAAAGTTTAACGACGTTTTCTTAATGGTAATAAGAAAATGATACAGAAGTGAAACATGGGATGGTTTTTATCAACAAACTGTTTACCTGTACGCGTGCTTCCGTCAAGTCGCATCGTAGCGCCAACTGCTCCCGTGTGTAAACATCAGGATAGTGCGTTTTCTGAAAAATTCGCTCCATTTCCTCAAGTTGAAATGATGTGAATGTGGTTCGGTTCCGACGCTTTTTACGCTTCGAGGTAGACTCGTTACTGCCGCTCTCCATCTCCATGCAGGATTGAGGACTCGGTGAAAGCTGCGTCGGGCTTCCAACTGGAGGCGAGTACTTGCCTGCACGAGTTAGTAATTGGAACACTACATGTCAAAGCAGTTTAAATGGACAAAATGCAATTACAAGTGAAGAACAACTCATTAACTTCATATTAAAATCAATTAAGGTTGATTCTCTCAATTGCGATTATTTTTGGACAAAAGGTAGAGTCATTATAGAAGTCAAATAAATAATTACCTGGTTGGGATGGTGTACTCAACGGAAGAGCGTGTTGTCTCGCTAAATCGCAACTCGCGTAGCTCACCGGAGGGACGTTGGGAGAACCAGTTCCCCGTGGAATTGCCCCACTTGAAGACATATAAGAAGATGAACGCGCATTCTGACCGATAGACGACACAAACTCGGCGAACTTTTCCATTACGTCTCGCAAATACGGTTGCTGATGTAGTCCGACCTGTATCGCCGGCGTAGAAAATGAGTTTAATTCAACCGTCATCACGCGCGCGGGGTATTTGTGTGACGTGCGTGACACCCTGAGAAGACGACCGACCAATGAGAGCCTCGCAGTGGGAATAAGCTGCTAGTTACGAAACTCACTTGTCACTAATAAAGATTTCACAGATAAGAAAAGATAGAAACTTTTCTCGATAACTCACTCTTATTGGCCAGCCCCGAGGAAAAATAGTTCAGGCTTGAGTGACAGTGATCGTTGGAAAAACAAAACGAATGCGCTAGAACTGAAATTATAAAAGAGAAATCTTCATTTTGACTTAAAAACAATGGCGCGATGAATTTTGGCGATTTTTAAGTGCTGAAAGTGGAAAGGCGATTTTCTTAAGTCTTTGTTTAAATAACACGAGTTATGGTCGCTTGAAAAACACAAAGGCTCGCCGCCTTTCCGGTTAACACCTTTTGCTGGAAGGCAAAATCCATATGGGACCAGTCTGCCTCTCAGTACATAGCATAAAGCATTCTGAACAAGGTGGCCCGTTTGCCGTTAAACGCTTTCATTAATAAGTCATCCCACTTCTGCCGTAACAACTATCGTAATATCTCGTAATTAAATTAATTATCCGTTTACGAGGTACCCAATGTTTTGTTTCCCGCGCTTGTTAACTCGATATTAATGTTACAAATATGAACGTGGGAAGGGATGCGTCAACAGGCCTAATGTTTACTATTGATCTGACCTTATTCGCCTTATCGCCATATCACCAACATTAAAGAAGTTGTACCCAGATGATTTACCTTTTTAAAGTTAGATTTCGTGTTTAATCACTAATCAGTATTCGCAGTAGTACGAAATCTCGACAGAATTCAAAAGTAGATAAATTGGAGTAATCGAGAAGCTGTAAGTGGCAATTCGGGGGTGGATTGACGCGGTTTCGAATCACCATCATTAGGCATCTTCTTTGTGGTCTCGATGCTCCTTCTCCTTAACTTCTCACATGATGGGGAATGAAGCTTGAGGCTTTCAAGAATTTGCAGAAATCAAAGCAAATACATAATGTACAGCGGAAACAAGTGGTGTTTGCCTTTTAATTTAACAAAAATAAAAACAAGAAAGGTACCACTCCCCAAAAAGAAACAACTAGAAATCGTCCCCCGGAAACTTGCCCCCATGCTGCTCTCAAGTGAGAGTCTTGAAAGGATCAGCTAACATCTGTCGCAAACATGCTTTTGTTGTATCCGCCGCCATGCGACAGTAGAGGGGTGAACAGCTTTATTGTGCACTTGGATTGTCAGTTACTTAGAGTGTCCTGTAACATCTCATGTCTATTTTAACGTCACCACGAGGAGACATGTGCGTCTAGAATTAGAACTGAGTTTGTCTGCTGCCAGTGTTCCAAGCTTCCCGAGGGTTCTTGGTTAGTCTGGTTTCTTCTTTTTATACTGATAATCCGCTTTGCAAGCTTCACAATATTTTGAAAGAAAATATAAAGGAACGTTCCTCTTGAACCCTCTTGGCTAGTAGCGAAATCTCTAGATCTAGAAAACCAGAGAGCGACAAAAGGGCAAACTTAACAAGACAGAAGGGAAAATTGCATGGCACCACCTTCAATACATTTGAGGTCAGCTGAAGTCATTTTTTAACTGAAAACTGAATCGTATGTGATCTGAAAAACAAGACAAAAAACGTCGAACAAATTTCTGGCCACATTACATGGCTCAATGTCCTCAGTGACTGCAGAAAAAGGTGCCATTCTTTCGAATCAAAATTGCACTGATACTCCCTCGTACCTTCTAAAGAGTATTAACGGGACACAACAATAACAACAACAAAAACCACAACAACAAAAGTAGCAATGGTGAATTATTAGGGCGCCTGAATATGCAAAAAATGTGAGGAAAAGGCCGTCCTATTCTATTTGGTTATTTTTTTCTTTAACTCAGTCCTTTGAACATAAGATTCACGGACGGCGCCTTTCTTGAGTGTTTTCTTGCGTGTGGAGATCTGGATTTACATACTTCAAAGGTCCAAGGCTGAATTGGTATACTTTCTCAGAAGTTCTTTACAAATAGATCAAGTTCCAAATGTACGTCAGTGATAGCGTAGTATGTTCGTCAGCGTTGCTAGGAAATGATCCTAAAGGCATCAACCACATAAAATGACATGAGTTTTTCCTGATTAGACTAATAAAGAATCGGAAATTCATGGAGTACCTTAATGAGGATTTGGAATCCCGACTGATGTCAGATTTCAAGTTTTATAAAGGATCATCCTTTACGAGGAAGAAAAATGACGAATACTTTACTTAGTCAGAAATACTTTATGATTCAATATTAAAAATGAATGGCGCCACCCACAAAAACATTCAATGCATTCATATCCAACTCTTTGGCACAAAAAGACTGAAACTGGTACCTTTTTTAATCAACGAGGCCTTGCTCCACCCATCGAGGAGAGAGACATTCTCTCTCCCCGATTTCCACATTTTCTGCATGTGCTGCTGCCACACTAAATTTACGCTGATGCTTTTACATTCGTTTTTGTATCGTTTATTTGAAACACCGGGTGGAATTGTCTTCCAGGTGCGACATCTGTAGCTGATATCAGACCTCATCAGGAGCCGATTATCGGCTCCTGACCTCATATAAGATCTAAAAAGAGCCATAATGGCTCTTGGATCTAATAAATGCTCCTCCTAAACCCTAATGGACTCCGTACCACAGAGTAAGTCGCCAACGACAATAAATTCCCATATTAATGAAGAGACAAGAGTATTTGGAAACTTCAAAGGGATTCAGCATTCAGTTCAGTCAGAAAGGAGAAAGAGTAAATATAGTAAAATATAGTAAATATCTTAGTATCCACTCCCCTCAGGGCTTTTCAGAGATAATTTACAACACTGGTTGGGGGACTTTGCCAGACTGCTTAAGGTGCAGTTTACAAGTAATGAAGGAATGAGTAATGATGCCCCCACACATGAGTGTGAAAGAGAACAAACACTGAACTAAAACTGAAGATAAACGTAATTTAGTTTCCTTAATACTTTTACATTCTCCAGGCCTCGCTCACTACAACAACATTGCCAACGAGAGTAGAGTCTCCGGGTCCAAAGGGTACGTTTTTTTCGCCCGTAGTATCTCCGGGGGTCTAAAAGAGGGGTCTTGATCCCGCATTCCAGCTCCTTTTTCACGACAATCACGCATCCCTAACTTCTGTCATCTCCATCCCGAATAGCGTTTTCCGTTTCCAATACCGCATACAGTGCCAAGATTTCGGTGAATCCCACTTACCGAGAAGCGGTCTAATCCCACATCCCGTCAAGAAATTTTGCGTTTTCCCGAATCCCGCATTATATTTCGGTCAAATCCCGCATCCCGAGAATACCATTCCAGACCTTGTATCTCATTTCAGTTCTCCAACTGGCGGCAGTGATGTATGACCAGACAAAAAATTTTCACGTCGAAAACAAAGGTTGTTTAATTCCTTGATGTGCCTCAACCAACATGTCTCAATTAAACTGAACTCCTCAACGCAACGATTTCAAGCAGGGCGGATACCCTCTGAAGTTACGTGAAGTACTTTTGCCTAAAAACTTTCAACAATATTTCCGTCCTGACTCATCAAAGGTAGCGTGGCCGAGTGGTCTAAGGCGCTGGTTTAAGGCACCAGTCCCTTCGGGGTGTGGGCTCGAATCCCACCGCTGCCACTTACCTTTTTTTTGGTTTGATATTTTTTGGTTTGTTTGTTCGTTTATTTTTTACGTTTGTAGTCATAATTATTGTTTTAGTAGTTATTTTCTATAAAATGAAACATAAGCTCGCACCACCAGGTGCCCTGCAACAGTTTTGTGTGAAAAAAATGCTGCGTCGATCTGGAAAGGAAGGAATACAAATGCTAAGAGCACATCAGATAACGAAGTTAGCCACTTATCTTAAAGTCAACAAAGCTGGGTCAGAAAATACCACAACGTATCCATTTGTAATAAGGAGCTCATTCTATCATATGGTGGGGCGAACCTACCTCTTTCACTATTAACCGAAGTTGGGTTGGTTATCCTTCTATTATGTTTTCCCAGGCTCCCTCTTAGTTTCATTTGGCAGGCCGAACATTGTGCAAGATTGTAACAAAGCATTCGAACACAGCGGCACCAACAATAGAAAAAGACGTACTTACGAGTCGGCGCTGGTCTGCTCTGCGGCTCACCCTATAAGGACAGGCACCGCCCTTCACAGACTATTTTGTATTAGTAAAATCCAACTGGCCATATTCTCTAATCAAAATCCGTTTGAAATCCCAAAATCGTCGCATCTGCTTTCTGTTTCGTCTCAATAAAAGAGCAGGCAGCCTGACATCAGTTAGATAAATTTAACTCAATCGGAAGTTGGACAGTTGAGCAACTGGTAAAAGGGCCGCCAATATCATCTTTAAAAAAAAAAATAATGACAAAAGTACCATCCTCTCTTGTACCAAGTTAAACTATAGCTGGAAAGGTTTCATTTGAATGGTAACACCACAGGAATTCTTACAGACCCAAACGTTAAAGCCAGCCGTTACAAGACTCCATCATCCACCCTGGAACTGAAGGTCGGGAGTTTTCTTTTCACAGAGAAAAACTTTAAACGACATGCGAGTCTCCACATCAAAATTATATTAATCCGTTTACAAAGTTATCCATTTTGGAGGCTGTTTTCAAAAATGTCCACTCAAATCATGTCAAATCGTTCACATGAGAACGGAAGTGGTCAACTCATAAGTTTGTTTTTGTTCACAAACTAATAAACGGACTAATGTGTGCACATAGCACTGACCAGACTGACACATAAAGACATTTATTACGTTAATAGCATAAAAGAGGATTAAACTCATCGTGTAGCGAAACTGACTCCTGTCATTAGCAATTCAACTTTGTTCAGTGCGTAAACGTTTATTTTGCTATTAATTTATAAGATTTACAAATGATTGTTTCTTTTCTATCACAGATAAGATACCACAGAAATTAAACTGATAACGAGCACGTTAATGTCAAACAATCTTATAACCTTGAAATGACATTTTTCATCAGGATGAATTAAGGTTAGCAATTGCTTACCTTCATCAACAAAATCAAGTGTTCTCGAGCAGAGTAAACAAGGAAAATACGAAACTAATAACTTCAGAGTTGAATGACACTGTCGATATTACTTTGATTGCTTTGACACCTTCCTCATTGCTAATGCGCACTAAATATCAACTCCCTGGGGTAAGACTTTCAATAACGCTAAAGGGAGTAGAATTATTGTTCAAAATCAAATCTTTTATGAACACAACCGGAATGTAAAGGACGTACAAATTGTTTGCTCTATAGCCTTTACCTAATTCTTTGTTGGTCACGAGCATTACTAGCCTCGCTATGTTGACAAGAAGAGACTCGTACAAACAAACGGATGCCAAGATCGCCTTGCTAGGATCCAGGCATGTAGGAAAATCAGGTGAGTTCAATGTCAACCCGTGCCTTTCTATCTCACTTTGAAATACAGTTCTTTGTAAATATGCGATATGAGGTAGAGACGCGTTTATAGGCCTTGAAAACCCACATCTATTCAGTATACTCAACTGTACTTGCATTTAACACCTACACGCCTGAGACCCACACTGGTTTCAGCCAGTTTATACCTTTTCTGCATGTCTTTCGACGGACTCAGTATTATTCATTTCTATAATTTGGCAATCCGCCCTAACACACGCAACAAGTTTCAGGGCTACGACTTGAAGTTATTATCCGTGATTCCAGTCGCAGTTTCAGAGCAACAGGAAACAACACTGTTTTGCACTGTGCCTCAGTTGGTACTAAGTTGTTTAGGGTAACCCCATAGTGTACAAGAAAAAGAATCTATTCTGAAAAATTTCTAAAAAGGAAGCGATTTTCGAGAAATGAATAATGTTCGACACTATTTATCCAAGCTACTTTCTCCGAAGAGGCCCCTTATGACACCTTGCTGAACTGAAAAGCCACCGTACTTTTGCCAAAAGTGGGGCATAAACATTGCACCGCATGTGTACCGTCAGGAATAAGATTTATAATAATAGTCCTGCACAACTCAGTATGTAACAGTATGAGCATTCCTGTCTAGGTCTCACTGGCAATCGATCGAGATGGGTGCCTTATGAAAATAAAAATGACAGGAATAATAAGAAAAGAATCAAAGTTCCAAAATTCATTCGCTTTTGGTCTGGATTCAGAAATGCTAAACTGAAGTTCTTTCAAATATATCAGGGGCGCTCGTTCAATAGCTTTAAGTCTGATTGTGTAGATGTCGTATGGGCCCTGTTCCGAGATGTGTACAATGCTTAATGGGCTAATTAGGCACGTCAGTGACACCATCCATCATAATAATATAGCTTTTGTCTTTCTCTTCTGCGGCGTCATGACTTCAAGTGCTAAGAGGGTAGAAAGTGACAGCCATTTCAAAAGAGTAGATCATGCCGAAAGAACCTTTACTCGATAAATCACTCAATAACGACTACATTAACCTCTACTGTACTTTCTGAAGTTTTTTTCTCAAATCAGTTGAAGTTTTGGACCGGGCGAATGATAAAGATTTAAACTGAACTCAGAATGGCTACAAAAGTTCGCACTGACGACATTGCTAGCATTTGAGTTTCAAGATGAAAGTAATGCGCTGTTTGTAAGGATAAAATGCAAAATGTAACGTGTCTTTTAAAGAGTTTTTGTCACTCCAAGCTCTCATGTGCAGATTATAAAAATTGCACGAAACAAAAGTTGTTTACCATCAACAGCAATCGTACTGAAAGCTTTTGAATAAATTATCCATTGTTTTTTGAGGTAATGGAGTTTTAAGTGGATCAAGGAGAATGACAATGACGATTAGCAAAATGGTGATTAAGCACTGATTACAACCAGAGGATTACAACCAAAACGTCACCCCCTGGCAGAGTGGCGTTAACATTCCTAACTGAGAGGGACCAAGGAGGGGGGCAATGGGTTTAAGTTGTAAATCCATCTAGCTTGTATATTTATCCCAAGCATGTACGCACCAGATGCACATGTATATGTTGCAGTTAATTTTTTATTTCACTTAATTTTTATATTTCCTTTGTTTCAAATTTATTAGCATTCATTACCATACCCAAAAACAATCGAAAAATGAAAATTAACTGAGATAAAAAATTAACTACAACATATACACGGTCATAAATGGCCTCGCCAACATCTTGAGCAACCTCTTCCATTGTGAAAAAACGCCAGAAGACCTCGGGTTTAATACTGGTAAACAGATCGAAAAGCCCGGGCACTGGATGCAACAACAATAACATTGTCGATTAACTGTAAGAAATTGTGTAATCATTTATCGTTCTGTCTAAAACCCCAATGTCACCCTCCTAAATCTTAACAGAAGAGAAAGTGGAAGACATTTTCCTGTTTCCCGCGACTTCTCTCGGAAAGAGGGAAGTGACTCTATTGAGCAGGAAACCAAGAAGTATTTGCAAAGTTACCCTTGATGAGTTCAATTCCTGAGACCACCCGATCTTTAATACATTATGGCTGACGTCTTTATTTTCGGTGTAGAAACCAAAAAGACTCGCGAGCCAATAACAACTTAACTAATTTAGTGGTCTATTTCTGTCCAGCTAAAATAGAATGGCCGAGTTTACATACCTGTAATAATATCAAATTTGACTGGTTATGACTCAAACCGAGTGTCTGTCCTGAGATTTCACAGAACTATGCCAATGCATTCAGAGTCTATCGGCTGGGTTTTTCTATTGCCTTTATGAACAAAATTTTTAGAAGATTACTGAGTTGATTTGTTCTTGCTATTAAAGCCATTGCAGTGAGGTTCCTAACCAAGAGATTCATTGGGGAATATGATTCATCTCAGGGTATGTTCCTCCGTTTAATAAATCGAAAATTTTTTTAACACTTCACTCGCAGAATGAATAATGAGTCTCGTAAGGTAGTTCTATTTATTATTAAGGTGGTGCTATTTGTTTTTAGCACTTCAAAAAATGAAATTTAGACATTTTGTTGCATTTAACTTTAACCACTTCTGGGATTGAAAGAGTTAATTAAGTTTAAGGTGTGGTTTTAACAATCCAAATTTTCGTCTTTAGATTTCACGTACCAGTTCACCGCAACCATCGACGATGATCAAGTAAACTTGGAGATACTAGACCCAGGTCCCGAGGTTAGCATCAATTTTACAAGTAGCTGTTATGTTTCCAAAATGGACATTGGTTTCCCACTTTTAACTTTTATATATATTCTCTTGCTTGATTGTTGTAAATAAAATGGGACTTTTTTTCAGAAATGACATACAGTTCCATCTTTAATTGAACGTGAAATAGTGACCGAATGGGGTGGGCTGGGCAATTAACCTGCGATCAGGTTAGGAAAAGGGAGGGGAGGGAGAGTTTTAGGGAGTGGGGGCAGCATAGTAGTAGAACTTAATAGGAACTGACAATCACAAAGTTCCATAACCGATCAAGTTCGAAGCTTTATAGGTCTACGATGAGAAGCTCAAATCAGCTCACCTTAATTCTTTTGTCTTATTTTCAGTCGACAGGAGAAAGTTCATTGGAAAGCCGTACGCTTTGGGCCGACGGTCTGGTACTCGTATACTCGATAACTGATCGGAAAAGTTTCGAGGAAGTTCGAGATTTACACAACCTTCTCATCCCATTCAAGCAGAAAATCGTGGTAATGATCGTCGGAAACAAATCGGATCTCGAACACGAACGACAGGTATCGAAGACCGAAGGATATTCGTTGGCGGAAATTTTTAAATGCATGTTCGTCGAGTGTTCGGCGTCCGATGGATACCCCAAGGTTGCTGAAGTGTTTCACGAGTTATACAGAGAGGTTTTGAAGAGAAAAAAAGACAGACGGATGTCTCTTTCGCCTCGACCCTTGCGCGCTCTTGGTAAAGTTTTCCGGCGAAATAGCAGCAAAAATTTGCTGCTTGCACCTGGTAGTCCGAGTTTGTAATGGTATAAAATACAGTGGAACTCGGCCATTTAATTGGGCGGCTAAACAACTACATGTATACCATAACACCGTAGATTTTGTTAAGAACAAGTCGAATCGAACTCCACTCGCTGCCATTGCTTTAACCGTTAGGAACTGTGCACAATCTCTAATTCCAACAAAGGCCATAATAAGCGACACACAAAAAAAGATGATAAAAAATAACAAATGAGATAGGTGGTACAATGTAACGCCCAGCATTGCGCGAAATGTATCTTATAAAGTGTATCCCTCAACTTGTGTGTAACATTGTAGAGTTAGAAAATCCTTCCACATTTTCAACATTGCACCAATAAATTTTGTCTTGTATCTACCATCAGCTTCCTCCTGTAACCTTGAAAGCTTGTAATGGCGATAATCAAGAATGACATTCAAGACTTTTAAACCACAGCAAAGAAAAGTTTCCCATCGTGCACTTAGTAGGCGCTAAGCAAATGCTTATATAATGTTGAACGCATGCCATTTGTTCCTTGGAGACCACAGGATATCAGTCTCCAGAAGAAAAAATGATGACGACGATGGCGAAAATGAAGCAAAAATGAGAGCGACGTTAATAACACCTCTAGGTCTATACCTCAAGGCGCAATGCAAGTATTTACGTCACTACCAAATTGTCACACCTGGCTCTCAATTTTGCGGAATAGATGTTCAATTCAATTAGCCATCAAAAACAACGATGATAGTGATGATAACATGACATCTTTACCTATATATTTCAAGGCACCACGCTGTTCACCCCGTGGGCGTCTCAGCCATGTTTATCACGTGACCACAATTTGTCAGGACTTGCCCTGAATCTTGCCAAGTAGATGTTCTATTTGATTAGCCATCACAGGTTGTCCTCTACGCGTTTTTTTGTTCAAGCGGCCAAAAGTTTCACGGCGCTTCCTCATTTTCTCTCGAACCTCCTCCCTGTGTTTTTGTATCATCACTTCCCTTTCCTTTGGGAGAAATATAAACAGGCATTTCAAACAGAAGAAAAAAATCGACAGAGGTAAAAAAATAAATAACAACAAACCTTGACTAGCTTTTCCTTTTCAAGTTTTCTTTTCTTGAATTCACTTTCAGCTGCTATTAATACGTTGACTGGTTTTTGTTTTCTAAGAGATAGAATGTACAGTTTGTACATGTAGAGAGTTATTAACAAAACAGAAGACGAGAACAAGCAATACAAAATGTATGTAAACTAGGGCTGTAGTTTTTAACACATGTAGTCAGTACACTAGACTATTTCAGCCAGTTTTCCTGAAGGCCAAAATGCAAATTAAAAACAAGAGAAGTAAAATAAAAAAATTTGGAATTTCAAATACACAGAAGTAAAGATGGTAATCATAATAGCCTAATCTACAATAATATTATTGAAGCTGGGCAACCTAGCCTTTGGGTGGAAGCGAGGCTGATAGTCAGTTTGTTTTGATAAGAACCTCAGTTGCATTCATATGCATATGAAAATGATTTACATGAATTTTTAAAAGGCAGTGGGGTTTTAATCAAAACTAGGGCACCTCTGGCCATGCTGGCACTCAAGGCCAAGATACTCACTGACAGTAATTAACTGTGAGATGGCCTATTCAGATCTTGCCAATCTAATGCTAATGTAGGGATGAAACACTGAACCATCATGTCAACTAATATACTAGTAAACCTCCAATTGCAGCCGTTAGTTTTCCTTTCCCCATGCCCATGGTGATACCGGGTAAAAGGAGACTTATGTTTAGCTTAATAAGACCGATTCCTAAATTAGATGTAGATGCATGGAAGGTACACATCGGATGGGGAATCACCAAGGATTCAAGCTTTATTTTTTTTACAGGCACATTGTAAGTTTACTTACATCTGATTAGTATGTTGTTTTCTGACACTTTGCGAAGAACTTTCTAAACAATCTTGATTGTTAAGCCTGACCTGTTTCAGTTGAAATACACAATGAGATAATAAGTACAAGATTCTTTGAATTGTGTTGTAACACACCTCTAAAACTCAAGGTTGCTATTAAATATTGCCTTGTGCAGTCTCCTATCAGAATAGCATTATCACGACAATAAAGATTGAATCATAGCATTGAAAAGTTTGCTCTTTTGATTGCTGCAAAATTACAACAGAACTGTAGCAGAATCCTGATTTTTTAAACCTCCTGGAGGGAAGTAAATTTGTTGGAATTAACAAGAAGTTCAAAATCTCGCAGATAAGAATTAACATCCTTAAGTGTTTGACTTGGGATTGAAAGGGAGTTTTGGTAAGTTAACTTACTTTGACACTACATGACTAAAATCAAAACGCATTATAAATTGTTCAATAACTCATCAACACAGTTGAATTTCATTGGGGTTTATGGAGGTCTACATGTAACTGAAATAACACCTACTGATTTAAACAGGCTATGCCACACTATTTGCTATCTTTTAAATGCTTAAACACATCTTCACATCAACTGAATTCCAAAAACAGTACTCCAGTTTTGTTACTTGGAACAAAATTTAGGCCTTGAAACTGCTTGCTGTTGTTATGAATGGCAAGGATGGACATGGATTGAAACTTTAAAAAATTGGGCCTATATGTTCTTCCAAGTTTTACTGTAACAGTTATTTCCAGCAAAAATCACCAAAATAATATTATGGTTAGTCCTCCCTTATGAAATTTGTTTGATAACTTTTTCATAACTCTACAGGAGCATTTTGTGTATGGGTAAAGCCTAAAAGGTACTAAGTAATGAATTCAGCACAGAATTGACCTAAAACATCCTGGTCACATAGCCCCTTTAAATAAATAATCTGAATTTTTCAAGTTAAGTTAGATATGCCAAAGCAAAAAATACCATAATTATCTTTAAGATAATTTCTGATGGGTGATGCCTCACTTAAACCTGACTCTGGCAAATATCTTTTGCTCTTTACATGATTTTCATGTGCAATTCATCAGTTTCTCTTAATGCAAAGAACAAAACAAAATGTACCATAAAACACCTTGGTTGTTCAAACCTTGGATATTGTTATCCAATGAATAAATCACACTCCAGCCAATGAAAATCAGGCTATCCACTTGGCAGCAATTTATTTGGTGGATAGCGTTATCCACCTTTTCAACGACTGGACCCTGGACCACAATATTTGTCACATACTGTTGCAGCCTGGACAACAATATTTGTCACATACTGTGGTAGCCTGGACAACAATATTTGTCACATACTGTTGTAGCACTTGTTGTGGTATCCCTACCAAGTTCCAAACAATGGAGGACTCCACGGTGGGTAAGGACAGAAAATGATATTATAAAAGTGGGTTGAGAAGTGGTGACTCAAAAAACCAAGACTAAATTTTAGAGTGTAACAGTCTCCAATAGTGTCTACCTTCCTGAAAGGCTGACAATACACAGCATTCCAGTTTGTTCTTTCTAGTCGGGATCATGTAGACCCTCTGAGGGGTCACCCAAACCATGTGCTAATTTTTTTTGTTATATTTATAACTTAACATTTATAAATTATTTCAGCTGTCAGTTCAGGAAGCCTTCTTTTTTGCGTCATTGACCCAAGACCCGTCTGTCATCTGGAACACTGGATACACTGAGTTGACTCCCGATAACTCGAACCTTCGCTACCTTGAACCTCGCACTAACTCGAATCAAAGTTGATTTCCCCTGGATTTCCTTCATACTTCACAATAATTTTACCCCCGGTAACTCGAACCCTCAATAACTCGAGGTTCCCATTAACTCGAAGTAAATTTTGTTTCCCTTCTTATCATTTCTTTATAATTTTATCCTCAAAACCTCAAAACATGTTTTAAATGCATGACAAGTAAGAAATAAGTGTCCTGAAGTCCGAAAACATTGCTGAATATAATTCAAAACAGCCATGTCAGTTCTTTGTCTTTACTTTTTAGAAATTTTTGGTCACTCCGATTCAAATTCAGTGTCCATCCCTGTCTATTAATCAAGCATTGTTGCTCAATTCCTTTTTCAAAATATCAATCTATATCTCTTGCTGCCCTTATAGTGAAGTGTGCAAGATTCCTGGATTCCCTCCCCATCCATTTGCTGATTTCATTATTACAGGTTATCTGCTTCGAACTCCCCAATAATTTAAACTTTTTTTGATTTCCCTAGAAGGTTCAAGTTGTCGGGAATCGACAGTTCTAAATCTAAATGTCTGATCTGCGAAGGGCAGTAGTGCAGGCCATCTTTAGCAGTTTTTCAACTTTGAGCAATGGTATTTTTAAGTTGTCTTGATATTCCACATCAATACATATAACCGTAATTGCTCGTGGAACGATGAGTTAATGATACTTAAGAACACTAGTGGAGAGAGAGACACACAAACCTGTGGTCGCGAACGGCTGATGTTATCAGAGTCATTGCGTCCCTCTGGAGCTCTGAGGGTTGGCTTAGTTTGCTGAACTTTTTCACCTGATTCTTTGCGCAGTTCTTGTTCTTTTCTTGTTTTCTTTAGTAGCTTTTTGTACTCTCTGAGAGCCATCTTCTTTCGTTTCTCGACAAAGGCATGGCCTACAAGTACAAGAAACACGCGCTGATTTTAAGATACATGTGAGGAGGATAGATTATTGAGGAGTATCCTTAAATGTTGAATCGAAAACGCTCACCTTTTTCTCTGTTCCCCACGTTTAGTAAATTCTGTGGTTTTCTCCTGTGGGATTTTGATTTACTCCTCGGTTTTGTGATTGTCGTCGTTTTCTTGTTCTTGCCGTTCTTGTTTCTCAAGCTTTCTTCGTCCGCCATTTTGATTTTTTTGAAGTTGCCGGCTCGATTGCGGGCGCAAATATTTCACCCAGGCCCCCAGCTCTTCAAGGAACAGCTAGCCCAGTCTTTCCGGAGGGGAAAAAGGTTCAAGATTTCGGGTCGTGAATGACGTTCCAGAGAAGAAAGAAATGGATTTGTGAAAGTAGATGTCAAGTAAGTGATCGTTTACATGTATTTGCGGTACTTTTCTGTCTTTTAACCCTTCCGAGTCTACAGTTTACGCTCGGTCTACAAAACCCCCAGTCTGCAGTCCTCATTCTTCATTTTGCACCCAGCGTATTTAATACTCTCAGTCTCGACTGCAGTCTTCATTTTACACTCAGTCTGCATTTTATGCCTGGTCCGCAGTCAGCAGTCCTCAGTTTACCATATACACTAACTGGACTTATAATATCATACATAGCTCAGCGCTGACAGGTGTATCAAAAGGAACTGAACAATCAAGTGACTGAATTATTACTCGCTTGCTATTATCTACTTATTAAACAATACCATGATAAGCTTAACAATTAACGAAATCCTTCCAGAAGAAAACTCAAGGAGTCATATAAAAAATTAAATAAATGCATATAAATTATAATAGACAATAGAATCGTTACCTTTGGTCGAAGTGGCCTCCCAGTTCCTTTATGAATTAATTATTTTTTGCTCGATGTTTGGCTTTTCACCGTTGAATAATGTAAAAAACCCATCTCTGTCATTCATCAAAATCGGAAGCCCATATAGCAGTTTCCTTTCTTTCGATTCTGAACTGTTTTTGACCGTCAAAAGTAGACTTATTAACTTGAGTTTAATTCAGACCAACGACGAAATGTTTTCCTCTGAGTTGCATGAAAGACGTACGTATACAAACTTGCTCATTCCAATTTTGAGGGCCATACCGGTGAGTCGTGTCGGTTCAAACCCAGTCCAACCAGCTGCAAAAACCTTTCAGAAATAAAGTCAATTTATGAAGCCAACAATTTTAAGACATTATAGGAAATTATGCTTTCTTCGTGTGGTGCTCATTCATCCTCGCTCCCGCGCACAAGCACAACTGCGACACACGGCGAAGTTTTCGCTCCTTTTTTGACGGTTGTGCTGATGCCAACTAAATGTTTGCTCCTATTTATTCAGACATGATGTTTTATATAAATGTTTTAAGTGCTTGCATTTCCATACAAAATTTAAACTCCTAAGTTTTGCATATTTATTTATGAACAACGTAAAAAACAGTTAGAATAAATACCAAAACACAGAAGACCACAGAATTTATATGTGCTTTGCTCAAACAGCACCCAAGCTCCTTTTCGGTACGACAAAACTGACATTAGTCAAGGATAGGTTGGATAGGATTTTCTTCAGACGAAAAAAAGCTGGGTGGTAGGGTAAGTCTAGTTATCAATCACGAAACATACAATAACAGTCCTAATTTCACTGTTTAGACGGCCTATATGCAAGCGTGAGCACAAGCAGAATGACAAGGATAAAATTTTTGTTCCTTTTCTTGCCCTTGCAAGTCCGTTATACCCTTCAGATGATCTTCACGGACTCCTGATTTCTGAAGGATATCCAAACTGGAAAACCCAGTTCCTATGGTCACAAAAGCACTCTCTCTAGGCATTACAAGCCTTAGAGCTTGTTGATACCTGAAAACACGTCGAAATTTTATTATGAACGGCTAAGACAACTTCCAAAACACAACAGTTAATATTAATTTCTACAGTAGTTAAAATTCAATTTAAGTTGGATTAAATTTCCACTTAATTAACCGTCAACCGTCAAAAGAACCACACCCCATAAGATGGTCTTGTTTCAAGGTATCACATTAATACATGATATCTGATTAAAGAGCACCTCTATAGATTAAAAAGAGGTCGGAAACTGTAGGAGGGAGTGAACTAAATGATAACATTGGAAAACAAATCTATGCCTTTCTTTCGCTGTATAGCACCATTTTTGCATTAGCCAGTGTACGTTGAAAATTCTCTTTTGCATAGTTAGCACAATAGACCTTGTCACGGTTTTCGACGCCATCTTGACGAGTAGGCAAACGCGTGAGAAATTACAGTGTTTGTATGAGAATCTAATGTCGCATAATTTCCGTAAAACGGCTGTTCTGAAAAAAATATCAGTTGTAAACTAAAGCTACAAAGCAAAGGATTGTCCTAAAAAATTTGGGGGACGTACCTGTGCTTAAATTTCTTCAGAGACTTGCTTTAGATTTTCCATATATTTGTCTGTAATTTTCCCGGGACTTTCTTACAGACAAATGTATAGAAAATCTTAAAAAGTGGTTCTAGGTCTTCTATTGCATGTAACGCCCTCAAATCTTTTCAGGAGAATCCTTAGGAGTGAAGCTTTAGTTTACAAATCATATTTTTTTCAGAATAGCCGTTCTACGGAAATTATTCGACATTGGATTTTCATACAAACACTGTAATTTCTCACGCGTTTGCCTACTCGTCAAGATGGCGTCGAAAACCGTGACAAGGTCTATTAGAATTCAAACAGAAACACAAACAGAATTCTCAGTCGTTTTAAGCCCTTTAAAGGGGCAGTTTAGATATAAAAAAAACTCAGCACTGAGAGGTGTACCATCTGACGACCATGTTTGTAGGACTGCGGGAGGCTGAAATGTGAAGAAAAAAACTTTAGAGGCTCATTAAAGGCTTTTAAAATCCTAAGCATGAATTCTAGTTAATAACCCCCATAATGTATGTACGAGCCAAGTAATATTTTTGAATTATCTTTTCAGTTTTTAATTAAAACTTGGTTTATGTTTCAAGTTCTTATCCCGTTTTTCTATTTGTTACTAAGTATCAAAGCCAAAAAACTGGCTATAATCAGCATAATGGTTCTTAGCCGATAAGAGCCAATTTCGCTTTACATTTTACAAGTAACACTGTCCAAACTTTCGCTAAAAAAAACTCTTGGACAAACGCCGGACTGCTTGCTAAAAATCAGTCTTGAAAACAAATTCCAAGCAAAAATCTCTTTTGAGTTAGACATCAAGGCGGCTTGAAGAATCATTGCGGATACTAGTTAATTAAATGCTAACCGACTGAAATAAAGTATGTTAAAACACAAGACCTGAACTGAGTATTACAGAGTTCAAAATGATACTATCAATTATATAATATCAATAATGAAAAGGAGGACAGTTATAAAAACCAATAAAAATAGCCACAGCTGTTTGTTAGGGGAATTTTCAGAGGAGTTTTTAAGTGTTCTGATGTCTGATGTATCATTAACCGTGGCAACATGGCGAGGATTCAATTTAAGAAACGTTTGATCCCCATTTTTGCACTATTCATTTGAGGGAGCGCGACTATTATTAACAAGAGTACACCACTTAAACTTATCATTAAACAAGATAGCCGTTAAAATAAACAGAAAACAATGAAATGATAACAATTAGCATCATAAAGGCTTTTTTCATGTCTTTATAATGATCGTTTCCAGTTGTTAATGTATTAGTTCTTTTGGGTATTTAAAGAAATCGATCTCAAGCCAAACGACAGTTGCCTGGCTGGCACAAATAGTGTAATCATGGTCTTTTTGGTATTAGAGGTTTTCGTAGTAACTTTGGTGGCCTGTGCCCTAAGCTTTCCAAGGAATAACCAGTTTGGTAAGTAAAAACGTTACTTTATCAGGTCACATCAGATCTTAACCTGCGATCAGGCGTATTTTTTTGTGGGAGAGAACAAGTAGGCGAACAGCGAGGAGAAAAAAGAACATGGGAGGGACGCCTGATCGCAGGTTAGTCACATCTAGATTTTTAATTTGTCTTTCAAATAGCTAACGTTTGATATACTGATTACATGTACCTCAGTCGCTCTCTGTCAGGTCTGATCTGGTTCTCTGTAACCTGAATGCAGGATTAATTAGTAATACTCAGTCAGACGGTTTTCAGTACGGTATAATCCCGGAACAAAAAACAGCAACCCTTAAACTGTATCAAGATATTACCCTGTTTGAGTGCAATGCCTCGTTCTTTTTTTTTAAAAAAAACACTTTTCGAATGCACCGTAACAATTTTAACATTTCGCTGAAATGTTAATTTTCTGTTGAGAAATAATTAAATTCTTTTACCGCTTCTAGTTCGTCAGAGCATTGGTGAAGATTTTCGTTGAGAATCGTTTCTTTAAAAAAACCCTTAATCCGAAAATGGAAGAGTTCAGATTCAAACTAAATATTTGAGATAAAGTTGAGTGAACTAAGGATTAAAAAATGGTAAAAGTAATTTATCAGCAAAAAACACAAGCGCTGCGTGCCTACAGTGTTAACGAGAAATTTCTAACTGTACGAGGCGTGTAGCCGATTTAGCTCGAGGAGATAGTGGAAAATAATCTTGCATCACAGTAATGACAAACATACAATGAGATGAAATTGGAATTTCAGTCTTTGTGTCGTCAGCGTGGCTTTTTCCACTAAGTCCGTACGTTTATCACGCAAAATTTAAGCGAAAAGTTAACAAAAAATTAAAAGAAAGAAATTAATATCATGAAATGACAAAGGGTGCAAACGAATACAATCCCGTCCATGATTACATTTAATTGATGCTTGGAGTTAGAAGATTCAAAGATTTATTTTGTTAACAGAACATGTGCATGACAAAAATGATCCTGTGGGCCTTATTCAAGAAGATCCTGAATTACTTGTGAGGCCAAAACTGAATGACGGTAAGCAAAAATCGTTTTTGCATATGGGCATGCGCACTACAGAAGAAGTAACCTCCGGGGTAATCCGATATATAGACTAGATGGGTATGTGCCGCCCAGTACGGTATGGTTTTGGAGGTCTCCATCCTTCTTTAGGCTATCATTTTTGCCCTTCTTGGCATTGTGTTCCCGGTGTGATCCTTATAGATAGGGTACCTAAACTGTATCAGCTAAAATTGTTAAGAGTCAGGGTCTTTATATGATTGAGTAGAAATTCTTTCCTTTGGAGACATCAGCAAATTGTTTGACTTCTTTTCTAGTCTTCTGGAATAAAACGAAAAATCATGGTCCCGTCTCACGGTACTTACAGTTAACCTGAATCTGAATTACCGGGCGTAAAGAAACTAATGGGAACGTACTGAACTTTGGCAGTGATCTGCACCCCTGGTGTCAAACTCAGTTCACATTCACATTCACATTAGGGGGCGTGCATAACACATCACTTCATGGTGGGACCTGAAAAGCGGCCTACAAGCAGTCTGGAGAGTCCATCGCACGGTGCCTAGAGAAGAGTGGTTGAAAAGATTTGGATTTGTACTTGTAACGCGATGCTATGTAGTCAGTCCACAACATGACAACGCAATGCCTTGAAGTGAAGAAATCATCTAATTTTTAGTGATCTACTATTTTGAGGCATGAGAGAGCTCAAGCGTGTCTGGCCGGCATAGCACAGCCGAAAGTCTTAAAACCCTTATATATCCCATGTTTTCCTTTTCTCAATTTTGCTTTAGAAGTGAGCCATGCAATCTCCATGGTAACCGACGAAGATCCACCAGACGAAGTTTATCCAGTGGAGGCCGAGAATAAGGTACAGGACCCTCACCAAGACGATCTAAAAGAGGTTTATCCGCTAACAAATGCTGAACAAGGTGAGGCTAAAAGACATTAAATAATGCTATTGCATTCAAAATAACTTGCAGAATAGTGCCTTATTCGTTGGTTTTCCCAAGGTTTAGCGGGGAGCACGAACTTGAAAGGCGGGTGCTAAAATATCCCAAAAATAAGCGATCGCTGGCGACTAAGGACAAGGCGGGGCAGCGGTATGTACAGCAAGTGTGATGCATTTCTTTTAAGCTGATCCAAAGGTCACAAGCAGCCTGGCAGAGTCCGCCACAAAATGCTTAGACGGGAGTGGTTATTACGACTTGGATGTGTAATGCGCTGCCTTGAATATAACAACGCATTGTAGTGCAATACTAAACTATTTAACGTAAGGCAATGCAATGAAATGAAGGAACAGAAACGTTTTCGTGAACTACGAGAGGATTTGAGGTACATACAAGGCTTGAGCGTTATCCATGTTAACCTTGTGACTGTAGTTATTTTCTTTCAAATTTTACATCAGAATTTGAAAGTACATTCCCCTCACTACCTGACGAAGATCCACCTGGCGAAGAGTATCCAGTAGATACAGAGACTAAAGTAGAAGACCCTCACCAAGAAGATCCGAAAGAAGTGTATCCTCTGGTATCTTCTAAAGGAGGTGAGGGTTTCAGAAACTGTACAGTGTTGTCAGTATATGACCATTTGAGGCAGTATAGAAAGATTGAGCTAGATGCTTGTACTAGTCATATAACTTTCCTCATTGTGTACTCTGTTAAGCTCACGTTTAAAAATGGCGTCTGACAGCGTGAAATGGAGTAACTATGTACACAGTCACATATCGGGTACTCATGGTGTGAACACAATACCATTTTGTGTCGGTACCCGAGCACTGGCTCCCTGGCACCAAGTGTGGACAGCCCCTTTAAGATTTTAGTTCTAGGAAAATGTGATACAAGACGAAAACACATGTATTTTAAACTTCCTTCAAAGCCCAACGAGTAAAAAGAGGAGCGAATGAAGATGATAAATGGCCAGCAACAACGGAGGATGGGCAAACTATTGTTAGAATCCCCTACGTAGAATCAGGTACGACTTCTACTGACTTCTTTCCCTCGCAATCCTGAATCATAGTGAGTTTACGCAACAGGACAGGAGAAAGAAGAGGGCGGCAAAACGCTTGTGTGTGACAAACGTGACAGGCCAAATTCTTACTTCTTTTGTGGTGATCTTCACTTAAGTTAATGTTTTCTGACCTGTTTAAAAAAGGGTGAAGTTCGGCGAAAACGTTTTTCAAACAAAATTATTGTCACGCTTGTCACACAAGGTTTGCCGTCTTCTTTCCTCTCCCATCCTGTTGCGTACCACACAACTGTACTTGTAACGGTGCAGGACTGATTTGATGCCAAACTTCCTATTGAAGGAAAAATCGTAGGGAAAATTGATGTCACGCCTCGTACCTAGAAAAGTAGGATGAGGTGTAAAACTGACCTTCAATAAGCATTCGAAAGTAAGCTAACTGAGACGAAATTGTAGCAATCCAAATGGTCCATTGATATAAAAAAACTCAACCTACGTAGCGGTCGTCATGGTAAGGTCCAGTACGGTGACCAAGGGCCCGGTTTCTCGAAAGGCCTGGAAACTTTTAGGGCCCGAAGGCAAATTTTAATATCAAAACCTTTTGAACAGTAGCACAGTTAAGAAATTTCAATATTTGGCATACAGAATATTGAAATTTGACTACTGTCTGTTAAATCAACATAGAGTTATTCAAAACATACCCACTAACGACGTTAGTCACGAGTATCAGTGCCCAAAGTTTACTGTTATCACAGTGAAAGAGTGAAAGACTTTTCTCCGCGCACAATTAATTATTAGAGCGGACTGTCAACATGCAAAATTTGGAAAAAATCTTTCAGTCGCTTAAACGACTGGTAATTCTACCGCAGATAAAGCCGAGTACTAAAAACGAACAACAAGAAAACAGTAGTGGGGAAAATAAACAAGGTAAATCCTTAAGATATTAGCGCTTGACTTTATATTTCGGACGCCAAAAGAACGTCATGTATTTGCGGTAAAGGCGTTATAGTAAGCGCTACAGACATGGTAAAACGATTAATTCTCCTACAAGAAAAATTTACTATTATTAAAAAACTTAAAATCTCTAGATTAGAGGAAAAAAAAATGAGCTGAAAAGCGTGTAAAGTCTTTTAGTTATGGCCATTCAAAGAGTACAAGACTTTTGCGCGCGGCCAATTATTAAGCGCGTATTGACATGCAAAATTTTTGAAAAACTTTTTGGGACGCTTAAGCGCATATGTCATTCTACTGAAGTTGAAACGTAAACTAGAAACATTAAAGGGCAAGAAAAAAAGAGTTTGCAAAATAAAGGGAGTAAATCTTTAAAGATATTACCGTTCGAGTTTATATGTCGGCCGCAAATTGCACATTTTTTACTTCACTGATTAGCGATCCTCCAATATGCGCGGCAAGACATAGCAAGAGGAACAATGCTCGTAGAAAGATAAATTTACTATCATTAATAAGCTGAAAGTCTCTAGAATACAGGAAAAAAAATTAGCTCAAAAGCATGTGACTCCGCTCTTAGAGTTGTTGCTAGTCAAAGAGTGGAAGACCTTTCCGCGCCGGGACCAATCATTGAGCGCGCACTGTTAACATGCAAAATTTTTGGAAATTTTTTTCAGCCGCTAAAGCGCATATGTGATTCTACTGAAATTGAAACTGAAAACTAGAAACATAAAAGGGCAAGAAAAAAATAGTTTGGTCAATGAAAGGAGAAAGTCTTTGAAAATATTAGCGCTCGAGTTTAAATGTTGGCCGCAAAAAGCAGATTTTTCACTTCGGTAATTACCGGTCCTCGGACGTTTCAGTATGCGCGGCAAGACATAGCAAGAAAAATAATTCTCGTAGAATGAAAAATTTACGATTATAAGTTCCTAGCTCAGAAACCAGTCAATTCTGCTTTTTCAACTGATAGTTTTATTGCCTCGTTTTCAAAAATTATTGAATCTTTGTTTGTAAATGCAAACACGGCAAACACAAAACAGCTTTTCGGGGCCGAAACGTTACCGAAGTTTCAAGAAACGCCGGGCCCCAGACTGGAAGTAATTTTTCCCTGCGCGTCAATGCCTAAAATATTTATAAGATGCCACGACGGCAACACCGGTCAAAACGCACTCTTTCAAACTTTTTCGCGATTATTACACTGAGTCGCTTACTTTGTCAAATGTACGCGAACTTTTAGTAGAATCTTAAGTAGGTTAGACCCAGATAAAATTCAATTTTTTTCCCAGGGTTGTTCCATGCAGTGGCCTATCTACAGTATATGTATTTTCTTTCCAAACAAACAAACACCAAATGCTTTATTTGCATGACCATAAAGGAATTACAGTATTGCAAAAGCTATTAGTCTAAATTTAAGTACTAATTCAACTAATTAGTACGTGCAAAACATTACAAAGCGTTACAGTTCTCATTCATTCATTCATTAATATTAATTTGGTTCTTAATTCAAAGCATTGCGAGATAAATGAAACTAATAGACAGTTAATGAAATAATCCGAAGAATTCATAAGAAGAGATATTAAAGTATCGCCACAGAAGAAAGTGATTTGAAGTCAGGTATTTTAGTTTCTAGTTTGGAGAACAATATGTCTCTGATCTGAGAATAGGCCTTACAATCTAGTAAGAAATAAATTTCATCTTCAATTTTGTTACTTGTACAAAAGTGACATATCCTATCATTGCGAGGGATTTTCTCGTATCTACCTGTTTCAATTCTAAGTTGATGACTACTTATTCTAAATCTCACTAATGCTTTTCTCGAAGGGTTTTTTCTTGTTAAAACTAGGTACTGCGAGGGGCTATAGTCGTCTTTGATTGTACAATAAAAACTAAGTTTTTGTGATTGTTGAACAGTCTGATTCCAGTAAGAGACGTATTTATTTTTCATTGACTTTTGAGTCACTCAATGAATTACAGGAAACTGTCATAGTTTAGATCATAGTAGTCAACCATTTTCATGAGATTAGAGTAAAACATGGTTTTTCCGTTATGATGAAGATCAATTGAGCGATAACACAAAGAGATGGTTAAAAACTGTGATTCATCAGCTGGACCAAGACACCTGTATTCGTTTTAAGGAAAAGACCAATTCAGACAGCCACTGGGTAGAATTTAAAACAGGAAGTGGGTAAGTTGGATGTTCAAACTTTACATCACTTAATTTATTTCCCTTGTCAAACACATTGGGAAAGATCAATGATAAGTACATTATCTTGGCGGTGTAGTCCGGCTAAATGGGATATAAATTATGTCATTTCTACTGCTTATTGCAATACTGAAAGAGATTCATCATTTCATGGGGACAGTCCGGCGGCAGTCGGCTGAGGGTGGGCAATGATCTTAGAGCCGGGAATCATAAGGTGTTCCCTTCAAGTTTATTGGTCTCTAACAATTGCGTTTTATTATCTGATGCGTGTTTACTCCATCTCATCACCTAACGAGATACTTGCACAGGCCACATGCCCACAAGTGTCTTTATGTGATAAGATGTTTACGTAAAGAGGGATACCAACAACCAGATGTAGGTTACGTTTTTAGATCAATTGTTTTACCGAAACTGACGTATGGTCTACCTGTATACCCCTCCACAATACCGGAATTAACAACGGTCCAGAATTTTCTACAGCGCTGCTTTAAACGCAAATATATTTCGTACCAAATTGACATATATAACGTATTAGAAGAGGTAGATCGCTCACTGTTTAAGATCTCTAGTATGCCAGGCCACCCCCTGTACCCTTCCGTCCCAAAAACGAAAGAAAGTTCAGCGCGCCTCCGAGTTACTAGCAGTCAACTCCGTAAGGTTAATACCCAGCGTTTTAAAAATAGTTTTTTTAATAGGCTACTTTTCAAATATAGAGTAGCTATTTAATGTAATGTGGATCTTGAATGTTAAATTCAATGCTTCCACATGGAATTTTTTGAGCCTTGTAATTCTTTCTGCTATTTTTCATGTAAGTGTTCTTGGTTTTAGTATGTATTTTTGCTTAAAAAACAATAAAGACCTTTTATTTATTTTATTTACATGAGTTTAAGGCTGGTTTCCATTAGCTACGGAGTCGGAGTCGTAAGGCCAAGTGGAGTCAAAAGTCAGAATCGTAAGCGGAGTCCGAGCGCGACGGAATCAGAGTCAGAAGAATCAGAACGTTTCCATTTTCTCCCGACTCCGCTTATGACTCCGTTGTTTACTCTCTAGTGAAAACCGGAGTCGGAGTCGGAAGCAGTAGCGGAAGGATATATCACAAAGCACGTTCCCAGAATTTGTGATTGGCTTAGTTCTTCCGTTTCTTCTTGTTTTAACTCCGACGACCCTGTTTTCACTTGATCGTTAAGTTCTACGCTTCTGATTACGACTCCGACGCTATTGAATAGCAGTCGAAACATCAAGAAAAGTTTCACGCCGGCTTTGTTTCTGTAAATTCGGAGTAACTGCTTTGATTTTATCTTTTAGCTGCAGTTCATACGTTGGGTGCAAACCTAGCATTAACCCCCAGCCTGTGACCTTGGACTCCAGCGTATGCTATTTCCGAAAAACAATTGCTCATGAAATAATGCACCTGCTTGGTTTTTATCATGAACAAACCAGACCCGATCGAGGTCAATACATTAACTACTATCCGAATAATGTCCAATCAGGTATGGCCACAATAGTCAATGCTAGTTCTTAAGCCTATTATGTCGTTTATAAACAAGCCACATTGCCTCCCTCACCACTTATACTGCAAATAAAAAAAAGATAAGAGTACTCAAAGCGCCCCCCCCCCCCCCCCCCCCCCCCACTGGGGGCCGGAATTAATTACCAGATATAACTTCCCCCCTCCTTCACCACCCCCCCAAACAAACCCACCGTGCCGCCGTATACAGACTCATACAAGAGGGCAAGGGGGAAAAAATACCAGTTAGCCCCCCCCCCCCCCCCCCATTCCCCATGTAGGGTCAGTTATTAATTACCGATTTAGCATTCTACATACTTACCCTCAACCCATATGCCAGAGCTTGTAGCCGGCATTGAACGGATCTATACGAGGGGAAAGGGATTAAAATTACGAGTTACAGTCCGCATATAACATGTCTTTCATTAACAACGTAAGTAAAAGATAAAGCTTTGTGGTGAGGTCTATTTTAGTGCTTAATTTTCTATCAAAATTTGTTGATCGGTAGTTGTTGGAAAAGGCATCTTAACGGCCTCGCGGACCCTGTCTAACCAAGCCTCATTTTTTCTTTTTTGTTGCGGCAGGATTGACGAGTCAGTTTGATATAATTTACGATCAGCAACTCTGGGATTTTGGGTACGATATATCTTCTGATATGCAGTACAACGAGTATGCGTTTAGCCAAGACGGGACATCAAAGACTATGGATGCCAAAAACGGCCAACCACTGGGATCCAACTCACACATGGACGCAATGGATGTAGAAAAGGTCAATAAACTGTATGGCTGTCCTTATATAGACTGTAAGTATATACTATATCAAAAAATTACGCTACTTACTGATTTAACGCGCCCTGAGAGTCCCCTTGATTATGTGCTCTGTGAAGCCCAAATATATCATAGTGGAGCTCCACGCGCGGCGCGAAGGCGGAGCCCCATAGCTAAGGAAATGTGGTAATCTACCCATCCGAGAAAATTTGGTAATCACGTGACCGTACACCCACCGCCCGCCCGACCGTCCGTATTCACCACAGGCATACCAATGTAAAATAACTCAATCAACAGGTATGGCAACCCAAATGCAACTCAAGGTTTTATTTGGAAGGAAATCAAATGGCCACCCTGACTTTTAGAAAGAAAAAACAACAAAAAAGTCATGTCTTTTTCGGCGTTATTTTTTATGCTTGCACTAACGTGGATAACAGAGAAAGAGCTAGAGCTAGTTATTGAAAACAAAGGAGACGAATTTCGTAGGAAGAAAAACATGGAAATTCAAAGCGGCGGTGAGAAAATGAGAAATGCTAGCGGCCAACAGGGTAAAAATGAGCGGCAGTGAAAAATAAAAGCGAACATGAACACAGGAAACAAAATATTGGGTAATCACATACGATAATTCCTCCATACGAATAACGTGTAACTAGGAAGTTTGACGTTTAAGGTGTACAAAACGGCGTTGTAGTCGTGCAAAACAACGGCAAGGGAAAGACAAAAAAGCGTGCGGCACGTGCAAATTTGTTTTTTGCTAATTAGAAGAACTTAGAAAAGTGTACTGCACGTGCAATTTGCTTTTTTGCTAATTAGATCTATTAGTCTTGAAGCCATTTTCATTTTCGTCCCCGTTTAGCATTACACGATTTAATTTTTGTTGTTTACACGTATTATTAACCAGAGCTTCGCTTTTAGCCCTGGCTAAATCTATATATTAGGGTGAACGATAAGGAGAGAAGGGAAAGTCAAAAACCTCCTTCATGTTTCTCCAGATAAATCCATGCAAATTGATTTCCAAAAGTGTTTTTTTTTGGGTCTGATAACATCACCTCAATTCATGTCAATTAACCCTCCAAAACTCATGTATAGCCGGAGCATCTTTTACTGTATTAGTTGTTTAAAATGGTATTTTATAATTTGCGTTGCGCCAAAGGATGGGCTTTCCAGAATATCACGCAGAGCAAGAAGTTTGAAAATTAATGTCATTTTTATCTTTTTTTATTTTACATTTTATGACTGCCCCCCCACCCCCTTTTTTCCTTAAGGCTACCAAAAAGCTCAAAAACAAATAGCAGAATCCGTCTCTAATCTGTTAATTTCTGCGACATATAATTATACAGTCGTAGATCACGAAATAGTTTTGAAAACCGGAGACAGTCTTGGGGATGGAACCAATGCAGATCCTTTCATGAAGCTGATTGGAAGTAATGGCGAAACCCCCTTTCAGCTCGTAACGTCGGGAGGAATGCTTTATGCTGATGAAAACGAGCAGGGCGCGTGAGTTTTTTTGTTTGTTTGTTTGTATCGACATATAAACGTTTATAACCCACCAATTAATTTTCGCGCGATTTTATCTGCTATTTTGGGTCACGTGGTAGAAAATCAGAGGGCGAGTATCAGGCCGTACACCCCACCCGTCCGCGTCGATATTTGCCCTACGTTAATTTCCGCAACATATTAAATATAGTCGTAGATCACGCAATAATTTTGAAAACCGAGGACAGCTGGCTTGCTGGAACCAATGGAGACCCTTTCTTGAAGCTGATTGGAAGTACTGGCGAAACTCCTTTTCAGCTCGTAACGTCGGGAGGAATGCTTTATGTTGATGAAAACGAACGGGGCGCGTGAGTTGTTGCTTTCTTTATTTTTTTTGCTTGAATTTTGTCCTTTAATAATTTCAGGGGCGTGGTCCCGGGATTGAGTGGGCTTTTATATTCAACCTATATCCATACGTACCACGTGATTAAGTACGGTAGGTTTTTTTGACATGATCATACGGCGCAAACGACGGCTGACTGCTGAACTCAGTTAGTGACACAGCTTATTATACCTGAACTAATAATCTAAAGCATAGCCAAAGCAAGTTTGAGGAAAAAAATGAAAAGGCATTCTAGGCACATTCAGCTGCGCCTTACGCGAGAACGAATGGTTAAACTATAGCGAGAAACTTTAACTTATTTTTAGCGTGAATATTTACACAAGCATGGTTTTCTGTCGTCATATATCCCCAACTCGTAAGTGCTCTTTTTTCAGCGATGAAACTCACGAACTACCTTTTCCAAATGTGGGGACGATTTCATCTATTAAGGTGGCCTTAGTGAATAAAGGAGAGACGCCCTCGGGGACAAGAAAGCGAGGTTTTATTGCGGACTGGACTAACGGAAAGTGGATTCCGAAACACGAGAAGAGATTCTTGTTCTCGACTGATGGATGGACTCTTGAATCTGTAAGTAAACATAAAAGATAAAATGAAGTCTAAAAAAAGATTTCAGTAAAAAAAACCCACTTGTTCACCTCAAGTTATGAGGGCATCACAAAACAGTTATTTGCCGAAGTGGTAGCCTCCCACGCAGACGTTCTTACGGGTTCGTCACGCAATCATTCCTCTCCCACGAGAGGGTAGGAACGCGTGACGAACCCCTAAGAACGTTTGCGTGGGAGGCTACCGAAGTGGAGACACAGAGGTTGTTTGTGATACTCTTTTTTAGCAACAATATACTTTATTACAATCTTATAAAAAGCTGCACAAAAAACTTAAGTAAAATATTCATAAAAAGAAAACGTAAACATCAGTACAAAATTCCGGCAAAACCCCTTCGCAATTCAAAATTTCAAGAACTCACATAGAGTTATAAAAAAATCAAGTGAAAAGTCCCAGTGGATGACATAAACGTCAATGCACTCATTCTAATAATACGGAAAAGTTTCTAATCCATGAGGCGAGATATATATCTATTGCTGTTCATTTTCCGTACCAACTTCCCGATAAGAAGACGTAACTAAACTGAGATTAAGATACTCTTGAGCTCTAATTAAGAACGCTGCTAAACCCATGTCTGATTACCAGCACATTGTTGATGATAGCGGACTTCTTACAGTCCGCCTTTTCTCTTAAAATCCGTCTAGTTCTTATCTCAGCCAGCGCGATTGCAAACCACAACGTTATGCAGTAACTTTTGCAAAGAAAAATAAGAGATTGCCCGAAGTCTATGTTGATGAAAATTCGTCTACTTTTAACAACAAAGCCAAATGTCTTGGTTTAAGAACCTGCTGGCAGTAATTTGCAATTCTAATACCCATAGATGTAACAACCTGTTAAGCCATCGTCAAACCCAAAAGTACACAAGTTAACTTACACATCTAACTTTATAACTTTCCTTTTTCTCACCTTATCTTGGGTTTATTTTAATAACAGGTGACCTTGGATGGCACAGAGTTCGGGGGGGCGACGCTGTATGTGGGAGAGGAGGCGACTGTTTATCCCGCATGATCAAATAACGGTTGAACAAGTGCATTTACAGATGCGCCGGACCGGACCACGCCCACATGTTAGTCTAGTACAGTATAGAATGATAGGCAAATATGACACAGTTCTGTGAAATCGTAATAAATAAAACACAGCACATAGATTGAATCTAGGAATAAAGACGAACATTAAAAATCATTTATTTGTTTTTGCTTTTTTGTTTATCAGGAAGAATCTACTTTTCAAAAAATTTGCCTAAAAAAAGTCTGCGCCAAAATATTGTCATGGTGTGCTTTTTTCCAAAAGATTTGTGCGCAGTGAATACATTGAAGATGTGAGGCTCAACATTCCACATAATTTGCGTCACACAGATCACATGAAATATATACACAGCACACTCCTGATTGGCAGCTAATGTGGGTTCAATCGTATGCATCTTTAAACCACATGATCTTTTAAAAGAAAACGTCTCCGGGTTATACTAAGAACGAAGCACATAGAATAATGCCTGAGATCTAAGACCCTGAAGAAGGAAGGCCGTGCCTTCCGAAATATTGGTAAAAAAGGAAGTATATTCCCGACAGTAAAATCAGCCTTGCTTCTTTTGTTTAGTATTGTCACTTATTGCTGATTAGATCCTTTATTGGGATCCGGTCTTTCTTTTTTGTAAGCTGGTCCTTGCTTCAAAAACTGAGCTCCCAGGCCTTCTCGTAAATAATGACTGAGCGCGTAGCACAAAAACTTTTGTTTTAAGATAAGACGAGGAGCGAAGGTATTGGCTGTAGCTACATAGCAATTTTAAATTGGATAAAAGGCTCTTTCCACGGGGAAGTATCTTTTCGAGCGTAACCTATGTTCCCAAACTGGGCTCGAAAAACTTGCAACAAATTTGGAGGCACATCACTGAAGATTGCCGTTTGAAAATTCCTGTAACTGTAGACTGTTTGAAAAAAACATGTATGTATCTGGTCGGTGGGAAGCGCGGGTTGGGGTTGGCGATTTTTTTTTCTTTTAGAGACCGGGTAATGAAAGGCCATACAGTCTGAAAATTTTATTTAGTTACTGCTCACTGAGATTCTTGGCTTTTTTCAAGAAAATATGTATTTTGGGGTTGTCCTCGGGGTGAATGTTCCTTTCTGTGAAAATTGAGACTAAAAAGAGTTGGATGGTTAAAACACAATCTTATGCTCAGTCAGGGATTTGATTTCACGGAAGCATACAGTGGCCATAATACAGGGAAGCGAAGGCGTATTACCCTATTTTACTTCGTTGAAACACTATTCATTCATCTAATCAACCCTGACTATAAACAACATATTCTTAAAATCGCGATGTTTTAGCTCTGGAAAGCGAAACGCCATAAAAATTCAGTCACCCTTAATAAGGATGCTACCCACATTTAGAGACGGTTTTGTCTTCCCTTGCAAGGAACGGATCACGATGCCCACTCTTTGGACCAAGAAAAACAAACAACGTCAGAAGACAAAAACTCAGTTGTCTCGGTTTGTTAACGACTATTTATTCACATGTCATTTCTAAGGCCATGTCCACACCAGTCCTATAAGGTTTACAACGCAAGCAAATAATGCGTTCAACGCTTCCGCACACACATGAACTATGCAGCGATCGACGTAAACAGAAATTTTCACATTTCCTGAAGGTGGTCAGTCGTTTCTGGTGTGAACCGATGAGAACGCAGCAAAGGATTATAATAGAATTCGTGTGAACATAGCCTAAATGATCAAGCAGCACTCATTTCATATTATAACAGTTTAACCCTTTAAGGCTAACTGTCCACATACAAATTTTCATACATTTCCTTAAAGAATGAATTGAGAGAATTTTATAAAAGATCAAAACATTCTCCTTCGGTGATCATTTTGATAATTCGCGTAACCTTTTCCCTTGATGGTGTAATGATAATGTTAAGAGAAATCTGATGTTGATCACTCTTGGGAGTGTTAGTATAAATGCTTTGTCTGTTGAGCTGATGAACAACTAAAATAGACAATTGTGCGATTTTCGTATGACCTTGAAACGAAAACGCACGAAAAAAAAAGAAGCAACAAACGAACGGAAATATAGCGATTTGATTGGTTTATCGAACGGAAACAAACTCCCGGGGCTTTTGGTTGGTTAAGCGAACCTCGGGTGAAAAAACTTCATGCCCTAGAACTTTCTACAAATCAATCGATACTTCGCTTTGACGTCATACTTCAACACGATTGTTTTGATTTTTTTATCCATTGGCTGATAAAACAAATAACGAACACTTACCGAAACGATTTTCCAAGGTGATACGAAAACCACTCTAAACCTTTCACTTCTTATAGTGTTCAAAAATTGAATTCACAAAATTAACTATATAGTACTAGGAACAAGTTCTACCAAAGCGGTTTCATTTGAATGGTCAAACCACAGAATTTCGTCCATAGATTTCACGGTTAGAGTTACAGATAATACTGCCATAACATGACCTAGGGAATGAAAGGGATAAATGGACTACGTAAAATGTTAATCGTAAGAGTGACTCAGTCAGGGATGACAACTGAGACAAAACCAAAAAAAAAGGGGTACCTTCGGCTCTAGAGTCAAGACTCTGTTATACAGAAATGAAGGGGTGACAAATGAATCACAGCCCAGAAAACAAAAATGGTATCTTATGCTGTACAGTCAACTCTCAAATACAGACATGAACCACACCCAGAAAACAAGAATAGTATCTTTAGCTGTACAGTCAACTCTCTAATATAGACATGAAGGGGTGACAAATGAACCACACCCAGAAAAAAAGAATGGTAAATTTGGCTGTACAGTCAACTCTCTAATTTAGACATGAAGGGGTGACAAATGAACCACACCCAGAAAACAAAAATGGTATCTTTGCCTGTACAGTCAACTCTCTAATACAGACATGAAGGGGTGACAAATGAACCACACCCAGAAAACAAAAATGGTATCTTTGGCTGTACAGTCAACTCTCTAATACAGACATGAAGGGGTGACAAATGAACCACACCCAGAAAACAAGAATGGTAACTTTGGCTGTACAGTCAACTATCTCCAAGATCAACATCAGGGGGGCGGGGGGAAAGAGCCACACCCAGAAAAGAATGATACCTTTGTCTATACAGTCAACTCTCTCTAAAACAGATCAGCACCTTGTGGCCCTCTTAGAGAGGTATCTACCGTAAGTCTAATAACATGACTGAAGGTGTGTGGATTAGGCCAACTGTGTTGGTCAAGTGAGAGTTGATATACATGCTTATTGTTCATTGCAAATTATACGAAATTCCCACGAATTTGATCCTTTGCCTTTATGGAAATAGAATACCTAAGGCACATAACCAATCTCTAAAGATGATACTACCAAAAGTAACGTTACACAACTTGAATTGGGTTGGTTTTCCAGACCTTAGGAATGAAGGAGAGAGTCTAAATATGAATGTGACTTTGTAGCTCCTGACTTCACTCCCTCGATATCAAAGGGTGACAACATTTAAAGAGAGTACATTTGAAGGCTTGTGTTTAAACAAGCCATATAAAAAAAAAAATGTCAAATAAGTTTACTGGGCTATACAACAGTCTTTGCAACAGAGGAAAAGGTAGAAAAAATGAGCCGTAAAAAACTATGTCTAAAAATAACTTATATGTCACTTCTGGCATGGCACTTAACACTACTGGTATTTTGTTCTTAAAGATCATAATACTAAGCTAAGGATTAATATATCATATTTAACCTGCATGGCTTAATTACCCAATCTTTAGTGTAGCAACAATTATTTTGTTTCAAAAACAAGAAAACAAAACAAAACAAAAAAAACCAAAGAGATGCTTCATAATGGAAGGTATATGTGTTTTAAAGTATAATGTCTCAGTAACCTATAATGCAAAGAATGCTGAAGTCATCTTTTGAATGCTTGCTGTGTCCAGCAGATCCAAACTAAAACAGAATGAAAACAGGTTACTTTTCTATTGAAACTGTGCAATTCAAATTTGGGTTTTTCATCAACAGCAGTGAATGTTCTTAAAAATTACAAACTACACAATACAGTGATAACAAATATTTATTGATTCACTGTAAAGAAATTCAAATAAAAAATGTGATTAACTTTTACAAAATTAAGATACTTCAAACTCTGCTGGACTCTATTGCCTGGCAGACTACTAAACTCTTCAGTACAGAAACATTTTCTTACTAAAACATTCTTCTACACCATGTGAAAGGTTCTAAGTAGTTCAATGAAACTTGAAGCCAAAGTACAGCTCCTTGAGTTCTAATGCAAGCATTACCATGATGATTTTTTTCATAAGATTGTTGCCTTTTTTCCCTCTGGTAGGTTAAGTACATTGCACATTCAACCTGCTTGATCACAACACGCATTCCAGAAATATTTTTAGCATCCATGGCATTTTGTCTTTGCAGCATAATTGGTTAATGATATGATATATACATTATTATGATTACTATTTTGACAACTTTTCCAAGGTGAAATATTATAATATTATTTAAAATTTCCTCAAATTAAATTTGGAATATTTGAGAATTGTACTTAAAAAAAAAAACATGCATGTTAACAAATATGTGAAAGTCAGCGCTAAAAACACAATGTCACAGTCTGTAAGTTTATGTACAAAAATTCTAAAATTATTAATATATTTGCAGAAGATTATTGCACTTGGTGCAGCTGTTTTCACATGTTAATGGTGGATTCTTTTATCACCATCCAGGGCTTAAACATCACACTGCTTGGCTGTAAGAAAAATTACCACAATATTATTATGAAATGTGACAAAGGATTGAAAGATAATACTAATTTATTACAAGTGCCAATACACCTAACTTTTAGCATAAGTGACCAAATAAGTAGCTTCATTGGTGACTAAATTAGATCATTGTGTTAAGGCAAGTTAATTTGTCATTGTAGCCTAGGAATCCAAATATCCTTATTATATCATACATTATAATCCCTTAATTTCAAGAACAGTACAATGACAAATCTCTTCATGTGGCAGACAATCATCAACTACAGTTGACTCCCCATAACTGAAACTTTCAAGGGAAATTGAAAAAAAGTCCGAGCTATCAGGAGTTCAAAGCAAATACCCAGAGGTATGGAAATGGGATTGGGGAGGAATGCAAGTATTATGCACACAGCAGAGTGCTAAACATTGCATTTGAATTACACTGTAAAGGAAAAGAATACATGGTTGTTTGGAAATAGATTGAATGTTTTGGACTATTGTTCACTGCTTTTTTCGAGTTGTCACCCAGCTGAAACCTAGTTTGAGTTATCAAGGGTAAGGTTTGAGTGAGCGAGGGTTCAAGTTATCGGGAGTCAACTGTATCTGTACAATTTAATACGTAAAATCAAGTAAGGTAACAGTTTCCAAGCATTGTTATCAAGCCATACAGTGATTACTAAATGAACAGTGTACAAACCTTGAAGATTCAAAGAAGTTCAGCTGGTCTTACCACCTGGGAAGGTGGATCAGTTCTAACGTCTGAAACTGGGGCGGGAGTAATCTCTGGTTGTCCTTCAATAATACATCTGATCCTCCTTTCGTCCTTTGGCCACGGAAACTTCATATATGATTCCAACAAGCAAGGTACATCTTTCTTTGAAGACCCTTCAAGGATAATGGGCATAAACTTGCCTTTTCTGTTGCCTGCATTGTTAGCAAGGTCATTAAGAATTAAATCTGACGCAAGACGCAGCATACAGCTTTCATCATCTGCAAGATAATGTATTTAATAAGTCAACATGATTTTCTTTACACATTTACATCAGACTTTCCTGAGAATCATTACTAAATGACAAGGTTACACCTTTCTAAGCACAGTTTTAATGCTGACAACATGCTCAGTTCTGGATAGTCTGAGCTAACAAACTACTGAAATTTGATCCTAAAAAAAACTTTTGTCCAAAAATTATAAAAATTCAGCATTGTAAGCCACCATTTTGGATCAAGTATGACATCATTCAGTCCAAACCTTCCTGCAATTTCAACGTTCAGGGCCCAGTTATTAGAAAGGTGGATAACACAACCCACTGGTTAAATCTCTATCCAGTGGATAAAGAAATTCTAAGCTGGATAGTGATTTATCCAGTAGAGAGCACTATGTTTAAACAAACGGTACCAGGACTGTCAATTTGTCATCTCCAGGATAGAATAAAATCATGTGAAATGATCTGAAATGGCAGCTTTCAGTGTTGAGCTTTGACATTAAGAGAGTGCTCTGATAAAAACACAGTCAGTAGCTAAAAATGTTTTTTCTATGGCAACCCTTTCTTTTAATGCTGTATTGTACAATTAGGGTACACTTGGACAAAGAGGGAAAAGTTGTATGATCCACAGAAATTATAACGTAAAACAAACAAACCAACCTTCGAGTTTATCACTTATTTCGTCAGCAGAGGAGTCAAATAAGCGCTTTAACTGCGGTGAAACACAAATGAACAAGAAGTCACTTTGTTTCACTCTCTGCACCACGTAACGGAACATGTTTTCGGCTATTTTTACCACCTCTAACTTGTCCAAGTAGCACTTATAACCAAGTGTTTTACTGAAGTAGTCGTACAGTTCAAATATCTTTTTTTGAAAGGCCTCTCCCTCTTGGTCAGAACAATGAATAATGGAGATTGATTTTCCCGAACTAACAGAGGGACCTGCAGAGAAAAAACAAAATAATAAAATACAAAACAAATAAAATTTCCAAAAGGAAATTAGCAGCATACAGAACATGACTAAACCAAAACAGTTTTCAAGTAAAATACTCAGCAATGTTGCTGCACCCAAAGGAGCATTATGGAATCTCTTCTATTGATAAGTGTCGATAGCAAAATTTTCTGTCAATCAATTAAATGTCTCCTATTGTTTGTAGGTGGAAATTGGTAAAACGTCTTGATCCTTTTGGAGACAATAGAAGAACAAAAGATACCAGAAAGATTAAGTTATGTGGTCTTAAAGCATGTTGCGTGACTTCATTCAGTTACAACATTTTTCATAACTTTCCTGCACTAAAACACTGGAATGAAAAGTCTAAAATAATCTAAGTCAAAATAAATTGTAAAACCAAGATTTTAGATTTTAGACGAAGTTAAGTTTACACACAACATCATATACCGTTATGGCTTTTGCTGTTCATACTTAACTACATATTGGTTTGTCATACAATACTATAAAACAAGGAAGGAATCACCCTCAAACCAAAACAAAAGGTTCTACATGATCAACATATTGCACTCTCATTCAGGTTCAACATGTCATTTTGCTTGGTAACAAAAAAAATTATTTCTTGAGCACATGCACAAGCCAACATGGTAGATTACTGAGGGACCATTTTTGCACAGAGGCCTTCATTATTAACAATTTCGTAATGCTGCAGTGTTATCTTACCTTCTGATGAATTATATCCAGACTCATAGCCTGGCGATGTCGGCTGGGACACAGACTCCCCAGAGCTCAGACTGTCCGTAAGAGACAACCTGCGAGCCTCTTTTGTATCCAGCTTAAGAGGAGAAAAGTTTTCAAAGGTTTGTTCAGCAGGTTCATTGTAAGTGTTTGTAGCAGTAAAAGATGTACATCCAGCTGTTGTGGAAGTACCAATACTTGAATCTTCAGTGTTCAGTGATGTACATGAATTTAGTTCACGGTTAGTTTGAACTGGTGACTTGCTCTTATCTTTCTTGTCTCTCTTCCACTTTCTGGAAAATCTGTGAAATACTTTCTTAAAAGGGGACTTCTTTTTCTTGTCTGTATCAGCAGGCTGAGAGTTAGAGCGGCTGAGCGCACCTCTCTGACCATTATCAGGCTCTTGACAGGTACGTCCAGGTGACCAGGATCGACAACTCAACAATGGAGGTCTTTTTAAAACTTCAAGTTCAGTCCCAAGGGTTTTAAGGCTATCAGCACTTTGGCAATTGTCATTCGATACTCTTCCATGAGGAGGCTCACCAGAAATACAATCTTTAACTGTGCCCTCATCGTCTGTTTCAATACTACCACTAACAGAGTCTGATGAACTGGGATTTGATGTTATGGATGTTTCTTGCTCTGTGCTATAATCCGTTATTGTAAACACTAAAGGATTTTCTGAAGAGACACTGCTTTCACTGGTCAGAGATGAAGGCTGCCTATCAGAGTCGTCATCATCTTCTGTTAGAATGTGATTTCTAACGCTTGATCTTTTTTCATACTCTAAAATAAAGTAAATGAAATCATGAAACTGATCATACAAAAAATAGTATGGAATCTTTTCCTTCTTTAAATTTGTTGGCTTGCATCTGTTACCCTCTAACTAATCGTTTTGTTAGCTCTACGTCCCCCCTTAAAGTTCAACCATCCACCCATTCCTCCTTTCCTTTTTTATTGACAAAACAAAATTATGCAAGCAGTCAAGGGAAGTAAAGCCTAAACTAAACCCCAGTTATTTCATGTAACTGTAGTTTTATCTGTTGTTGTATATTAAACAAGTCTGTAGGTTTCGTCTTTTTTTTTTCCATTGTTGTTTCAGCAATATGTGTACTTTTCTGTGCTGTTATAAAGCATTAAATAAAAAAAGAGGAATCTACATTATACTTTTCTCGAGCACATATTTATCCCAGGTTAGCTCCTACATAAGTATAACAAAAATACATGGTAAACGGCTAGTTATAAAATAAGCGTATAATAAAAAGGCAGTGGAAATGTTCCTTTCAATTGATTTAGTCCAAAAAAATTGATAGTCACAAGATCATATTGCGTGAGGTCAATCTGTCAGCAAACAAGCGGAAGAGTCAGTTTGGATGTAGGAAAAAGCAAGCATCATCTTAAGTTCCGTAACTAACCTGCATACTGTAAATACCAAGAGAAAAACTTGATAACAAAAGGAAGTTAATGTTGACTTTTGCTTCACCAATAAACTTAAGAGAAACTAACTTCGATCGAAGACTACGTAGCGTGAAAAAAAGGGTTATTTGCATAATAAACAAAAAACTTGAAAATTTTACCACCCGCACGTATCTTTAAGGGGGTATGAGAGAATAGTATTTTCATCGTCGCTTTGAAGGGAAATTTAATGTTTTAAGTAATAAAGACTTACAACAAACATAAGGAAAATTTCTTTATATCGAGAGAAAAAAAAAGAGAGAGAAGGATGTAAGAAAACTCTGCGATCGCCTGTTAAGTTTGCTGATCAAATTTAAAAATGCGACATGCCATTAAATTTACATATTATTAGCTTAAGCGATGTGCAGAAGGTTATAGAGAAATAACAAAAAACACGGAATAAAAAAATAAATAACTAATCCTAAAATGAAGGGAAATGTTTTTCACGCCTCTTACCATAAAAAAAGGAAATTGCGCCTGAAAAAATCATCTACAAACAGGTAAATCATTGGTCTCATACAAAGACGAAATATATTAATGAGCTTGTTGCGTGGGAAGAGCGTTCCCTGAATATAATTTTATTTCTTGGGCTTTACATCAATACCCTAAACTTGATTTCGTAACCGTTTGAAATAACTAATCGTGAGTTAGCAATCGGTTGATTGGGTAACAGTACTACTAAAACGACACAGTTAGAACTGTGTACACGAAATCTGCCTGAAGCGTGCTGTTTGATCGCATGAATGGATTCTAGCTATGTACGTAAAGAGCGATGTACAAAAAATAAAACAGAAAAAACGACTTGATTGCCTTGTAATGACTCAAAAGACAAGTTCTTCCTGTAGCTTCCAAAGAAACGACTACTCTTACTTCGCCACTCTTGTAAAATTTCAAAAACCTATGAATGTACATGCAACTTACCTTCGACACATTCGTAAACCACTTCAAGGCAACTATGCATACGCAACTCGCCGAGGACAGAGACAAGTTTCTCGAGAATTCCATTCTCTTTGTACATCCAGTCTTCAAGTAACCTTAATCCAGGTCTTTCGTGATGTGCAAAGAGACCAAGGATATTGTCCTGGTCATAGCCAAGCGAAGCAGCTACATCTTGCCAGTTTTTCAAAGCGCCTAACAAGTTCATGCGAAGCGACAACGGGTCTCTCACTTTGTCATGTCGTAGCACATCTCTCGCTGGTAATGAAAGTATTTCTGGCGCTATAAGGCGTCCTTCGAAGCCTACATCTTCCTCGTCACAATCCATTTGCTGCATAATAAATGTTTAAGCTATACTCTTTTCACACAAATCATTTCCAGCAGGCTCTCGTACTATAGAAGATTTCTTCGCATACTCCATTACACATCCCATAATTCAATCGAACCTTTGCTTCACTCAAAAACACGTCACGTGGGTGCCAATTTCTTCCGCATTGTGGGGCGGTCTCGAAAGGATCAAGTTGCTCTTGGGTTTCATAGTACGTGTCATAATTTTTTCTTGATTAATTAAATCAAACTGCCCGTTTATGCAAGCTCTGATAGGGACCCTTCAGACTGTCTCTTAATGCCATAACCACATGACCGAATCACGACTTTCATTTCCCTTTTGCATATTCCCGGCTCGTGATTATGGCTCTTGGTCACGTGTATTTAATTTAGGGTAACTTGTCTCAATTATTTTGCATCAGCATTCGAAGTGAAATAATGCTTTTTACTCGTTCAGTCATATCCTTGCCTCAGTACTCTAGCAACAAACTCATAAACGGGCTGAAATAGTCCGGTTACGGTTATTTCACCCTTAGGGTGCATGTCAAGTATGTGTGCCAATTCTTCACGATCCGGATATGACCACTGGGATTTTTAAGAAGATATCCCTCAATACAAATGCCGATATAATCTTAATTTCCTGTGGACAATTTCCATTGACGCAATTTCTGACAAATTTTTATGTAGGTTACAGTCCTTCCCAGAAGAGAGCCATAACTGTTCACAGTTTTTCTAAAAACTTTTTGAGCGTCCCACTTTTGGTCTTTGGTCCTTATTTATCTGTAGCATAGTGAACTATACTCTGACCTGTGGAATGTGAACTGTTTTTCTGACCCGCGCCCCTTTAAGGGCGTGCGATACCATGAAGAGAGAATACAGCACTATAAACATTGCATTTTCTAAAAGTAGAGCAAACAAAATGGCAAGCTCGAAAACGAAAAATTTAACGGAGAACTAGTTGAAAGTTTAATATAAAAGATAAAATGGCGATAGACGAGACAAAAATTATCTAAAAATGCTACGGCAACGACGAAGTACAATTGTAAATACAATAGTAAGAGAGCCTCTTCCTCAATACGCGAAACAATGACGCGCTTTGAAACATACGGACCCCCACCACCACCACGCACATCGGCACACCCACCCACCCCCCCCCTGCAAGACGGCCCCGTCTTTGCTTAGCGTACATTACACTCCTAGCTTTTATTAACACTTCCCCAAACTAATAATAAAAACGTATATACATCAACAAGGTTTTCTAGCCAAAAATTATAAAATTTCCGATAAGAAAAAAACTGCGTTTTAAAATAACTTGGTTTTCTCCTGACGTTTTTGGACGTTTGGGTATATTTGGGAGTGAGTGTTCAAAGAGAATTGGATTCAATCGCCGAAAGGCGTCTTGTTTAAAGGTTAAAAGAAATAGTAGTCTCTAGACAGATAGCATTTTTATATATTCATGTCTAGTACGTCAAAGGAAGTCGATGCAACCTGACACATTGGATTCAAAGTTGGCACTTGTCATCTAACGAAAATGTCTACATAACTGAAGCAGCTTCAACAATAATCGTACGTGAGATGGCCAGCTTTTTTTTTAGCAGGTTGTCAGGTAAATCACAGAGCTCACCCAACCAGTGTGTTTTGATACGAGAATTATTTGGTTTAGAAGACTTGAAATCTTCGTTACAATTTTAAGATCGTTTCAGTAGATTCTGATTATGATTGGCGTTCATTAAAAAATATATGTGATATTCAGTCTTCATTGCAAACAATCAATTCGCCAGAGGGTGAAACTGAATAATAATATTGGCTACTTTCAAAGGCCTTGTAACCCGATCAAATCTTCTCAGGAAAGAGTTGAAGCGGCAATTATTTTCCGGTCGTGTTAAAAACGTTTTTGACAGGTACCAATATAAATGTATTTTGTTACGTTTTTAGTATAAACACTTCCTTTAATAAAGTATTCACAAAATTGGGGCCAAGAGCCTTATTAAATATTTAAGAACTGTCAATCCAATGTGTTCTTTCATAATCTTACTTCAGTTTGTTATTTCGTAATTTCTCGATACTTTCTTATCCACCAAATAGAAAAGTGAAGCTGTTAATTGTTTTGCGTCAGATAACGTCAGAAGTGATCTTTTAACAGAGACATCTCTGGTAACTGTTGTAAATTATTTCCAGATAAGCATAGGAAAAAATTGAATTTTTTAATTGTTTTTTTTTTTTGTGAACTAACAAAAGTATGATCGCAGGTTTTTAGCTCGTCAGAAGCAACGTTTGATCACAATAAAATTTCTAAGTTCAACAATAAGCTACAGCTCCAGCATCACTTCCTGTCAGAGGAGCGGAAGTTGTTAGGGCGCGCAAAGTATGCTGGGTTTTTAAACAATTCTAAATTTTCGACTTTCACAGTCCCTATAATACAATTTGATTTCCCCACAAATTTTTGTAGAAATATTGATTTCAATTTTCTCTTAGCATTAATAATCGTCCCTTTAAAATTTGAAAACAAAACTTAAGCAAAATTTTATGGGGAAGACAAATTACATCGTGGGGAAGCTGAAAGTTGCAGATTCATCTGATTGAATTTAATATGCGTATTTCCCCATGGTGTCGAACTTGAGAACTGGGGTGAACAATGAGGCCCAGCATGGTTGGCTGTGTAACTATGGGATTATAAAGAAAAAATGTTTCTTGTCTGTCTTGAAAATATGAAGATGATGAATGATTTTCTGTTTGTGGCAGACATCTTGTCAAGCCATCACTTTTGGGAGAGCCTTCTAAGAAACATAAGTCCTGGCAACCTTCTAATTAGACGGTTTCCGCAGTTCCCTATTTATCCGTACGATTGTCGAGATCGAGCGCGTTGCGTTGAAGAGATGTGCACTAGTGCTTTCAACTAAAATTGAAAACAATATAATCTTGGTTGAAAACTAACTCAGAGTTATGCAACTCAATGCTGGAGTTTTTTGACGATACTCTAACACTTAGGAAAATGTCTAAATCTCATCCTGTACGCCTCCTGGTAAGCTTCAGCCTCGCGTTCTTGTTCAGATTGCACGTTATGAAAGATCGTCTCAGGCCTTCTTTGGGGGATACATTATGTATAATCTGCTTTATTAAGACATCTAGTTGATAATCTTAATATTTCCATTTCTCTAGAGTCATTATTAAAACGGCGAAAAGTATCGTGGATGTTGCCTGAAATTTTAAGAGTCTCCCAGAATTCCACTGTTGTAATAATTACGGTTCCATCTTAAGACATAGAAAAAAGAGGTCTGCGGCTGTCTCGCTTATGAGACACAATAACGAAGGTTTTTCTCTGGCTATTAAATTTATTTCCTAGCAATGCTGGATTCATAGTAGAGAAAAACAACCAATAAAACAGTTAGCCACACCAGCTATAAGTGCTGTCCTGCAAGCTGGTAGATTACTTGGGTGTCATTTTTAATGGCTCTGCGAGAACAAGCACAGAAAACTAGTTAATAAGCAAAAATCAATTAAAACAAGACTTTTTTTAACGTTAAAAACAACATTAAGACCATTATGTTCCAGAAACGGAAACTGACGAAAGTCGCCGGGAAAGAAACAATATGAGTGCTACCCAAAAAAAATTAACGGAAACGTCAGCTTTTCAATCTTTTTCCTCGTGGTAAAGTAACTTTATTCAGTCAACTCGATCAGTTGATTAAACGGGGGCATCACCACAGATGGGCTTTTGAAACAAACCTCTTTCATGTATCTATAACTAAAATCTGACGTTTGCCGTTTGCCGTATACGTGAAGCTTAAACTCTCTAATAACAAACCTCTTCCAAGCGGTCACGTAAGGCTCGTTAAAGAATTATCCGAGGGGCTGAAGACATTAAGAGACAAAATAAATATTTTCAAAGAAACTAAACGTTATTTATACATAAGCTTTACCTTTTATCATCTTCGTGAACTTACATCTGTCACTTGAACACTGCCAGTAAGAGTTTCTACATGAACTGCATGAAAAGAGAAGTGTGAAGAGGGCTGTATAAACCATTTTAAAGAGTTATTTTAATTCTATATTTCCGGTATAACGCTTTTACCAACTCGAATCCAAAGAGAGTTAAAGATACCACTTTACGCCTAGAGTGTTTTTAACTTTCTTATCAGTGTTTGATATGAGATAAAATACTGTGTCTTGTGCAGGTGCCAGGGTGGTGTAGTTGGTGACACCGCTAGCCTCTCCCCAATGTTGTTGGTCCTCTTCTTTGCTCCGAGAATTTTTCGCTCCGGGTACTTTGGTTTTTCACCAGCTTAAAACAAAATACTTTCAAATTCGATTCGGTATGGAACACACGGACATGCGTCTAAATGAGTATGTGCTACCTCTTACGTGTTTGAAAAAGCTTGACCGTCATATTTTGTCCGGAACGGCCTCCATTTCGACTGGAGAATATCAGACACTGGCATGGATTTAACACTAGGGCGGCCATTAGGGCCATTTATACGAGGAAAAATAGGACACGTCTTACATAAGACGCGTCTTACATAAGACGCGTCTTAAATAAGACGCGTCTTAATAAGACGCGAACTTTCCGTATAAACGACACATTTCGTCTAAAATAAGACGCGACTTAGCCAAGACGCGTCTTATTTTAGAACAGCCCTTAACACCTGTTCTTAGATACTTACATAAGACGCGAACGCAAAGTACGCATGCGTTAATTTTTGGCGGGAAAATTATCGCTTGCCCGGTGAACTGGCAGGCCACTGGCGGGAAAAATTGTTTACAAATTACAACGCGTTTTCGTTTCCTTGCCCATTCTGCTTTATTTTTTCTTCGCTCAAATATAAATGAGCACGCCGTTATTAAAGTTAAAAAGAAACCAGGCTTGGTCCATGGCGGAGGAAAAAGATTTTTTGTTATTATGTAAGGAGAAGGCGATAACAGACCTCCTGGACAAATGCGTGACATCTGCTGGTGTAAGTAGACCCTTTTAACTTTAAACTATCACAAATTATATTTACTAATCAAATTGCTATCTTCGTATTATAAACTTACACTTTAAAAGTAAGTTTAAGTCTACAGAAGAGTCAGATAAGATATGCTCGTATAAATGGTTCAGTTCGCGTCTTATTTTTCCTCGTGCCGTAGATGTCAGCGAGTATCAACTGACATATAATGGTGTATAAACATATTCGATCTTACATGTGCCGGAGTACCACAAGGCTACAGCTTATTTATTATATACACTACATCTCCCACCCATCGACGAGTCCAAAACCGTTGATGCGTGATGAAAACATACTGATAAAGGTTATCCAGAGTAAACCTTAATTGAAACTGAATGAGGACAAGACAGATTCAAACTCGACAACAACTCTACTGAGTCAGACTGTACTCCAAAACACAAGTTCATTATTATCATTATTGCTATAATTATCATTATCATTATTATCAAAAACTGAATCGTTGCATAATGCAATTCTAGAGCTCTGATTGGCTCAGCCATCATGGTATATGAGCCATCATACCATGCTGTCCAAATATGGTAGCTGTACTCGTCTGCTCAAAATTCAAAACAAGCTGAAAATCGGTTTTTTCTACAAATAAAGTCGGGAAGAATTCTCGATATATTGTGGGCGTTTTTAATAAATCAATTATTCCACTCTCGCTTGTTGGATATGAGAAGATTATAGCCAACTCATATCCAACTCACACTCGTGCAATAATTATTAATTATCATTATTATTATTGTTATTATTAAGTACAAAAACTTCTGCATGAGTAAGAAATAAACTTACCACAATGTACATCTGTCAGGAAGCACTAGAAGTTCGCCATGAAAATACTTAACTCCTTCAAAGTGGCAAACTAAAGAAAACAAAACAAAATTAAATAGTTTTTACATTGATTTCAAGATATTCTAGCATTGCACAGGACATAACCCACCTTTAGCGTAGTCCTTTGGGCAAACCAGGCAGCATCGCCCCTTCATTTTAAAGGGATCGTCACACAGAGGTATGGGACAGCTAACCGATGAGCAGTTACCAGTCTGAAAATCTCCACATAAGCAATGAGCACATTCACTGAGGCTCCATATATCGCCTTTCTTGTACATCTCATCTGCGAGAGTATCTACACACTTTGGCCGCTCTGTTAAATATGCAATATAGTTCCTTCATAAACACCGTTGGAAAAAAGGAAAAGTTAGATGCGGTACTTTTCACGAGGCATTATTGTTAATGTATAGTGATTCCCCTCGCTGTCACGAGTTTTAAGGTGATGTTACACGGGACGATTCACAACGACGATTTTTAGCGGAACACGGCGTTGCAATGTTGAAACAATGTTGCAGCTATTTGAAACAATGTTGCAACTTTACATTGCGTTAAAAATCGTCGTTGTGAATCGTCCCGTGCAACATCACCTTTGGGGCACTCACTGGGGGCTTTTTCTGCCTCATCTCCAGGGATTATAGGACGAATGACGTCAGGATTGCTGCTGGGCGGGGAGACAGTTAATAAACGGCCCCTAAAGCGATACTGATTAACCTCTCGTTTAAGTTTTATCAGGGATAAATTTTTTCTCTAGATAAGTGTTTTTCTCCACCAAGATAATAAACGTAGGGCCAATAAAAACTGGTCGAAGACCACGTTTTCAGTCGTGAACACCGCCTACGTTTCGTTGAAATAACCAAAACCTGCTAAACAGATAGTCTGGATACTGATTAAGGCAAGCCTGTTAAGGATCCTTTCACGGTAGTGGTGCCAAGTTCACCTCTACGCACGACTTTCTAATAATATTGCACTCATTCTTGATCTCACCGTTGAGAGGAATCATTGCATTCTTATCATGTTGGCACACCCATCCTTCTGACTCAACACATTTGCTGCCACGAAAGAGGACAAAAAAACGATTAGCCGAGAGACAGTAGCAATCATCATTGCTGATGTGTGTTGTAGAAGGCGATGTTACAAGAAACGATTCAGTTTTAGGACAAAAATGTTGGAACAATGTTGTAGCACTTCAAAACAATGCAGTGATGCGCTGAAAATCATGGTACGGATGTTAATTGCAGAGGGTGACATCATAATCTCAGCATCAGTTTAACTATTGTAAATTAATATTTTGTAAACCAGGCACATGCTACTCACCAGATGGAGCGATGATCTTCTAGCACAATGATTTCATTTTGAAAGTATTTCTTTCCGTTGTATCTGCACACTAAAGAAAAAATGTGTAAACAGTTTAAATTTGGTAAATCCATATTCAAGAATTAACTACAAACAATTCCAACATTTTTTATAAGCATGCTAAGAATAAGGACACCGTCATTCTCTCAATACAAGTGTGATGGTAAATTTTAAGCGTGGTGAATACATGACAAAGATGTTTGTTCAGTCAGTGATACCTTCCGAGCCGCCTGTGTCATTGATTGAATTATCATATTTCTCATATCTTCCTCTAATATGTCTGGGCAATCCAACAAAATGTTTATTACTTACCTTTTTTAGGATCAGTGTCCAAGCAAACTGTACAGCACCTTCCCTCCTCACGAGTAGTATGTTTGCAGTCAGGAACATTGCATGTTATTCCCCAGCAGTTTAACTGACCATTTCTTTTGCAGGTACATGCAGTGCATGCAAAATCGCCTCGTACCCAGATCTCTCCCGGTCGGTAAAATTTAAGTGTAAGTAGGTCATAGCATCTGTTTTTATCCTCTTAGGAAAAACGAAAAAATAAAAGAATCAAGATTATTAGCAAAGACGGTTTAATGTTAAATATGAAAACTAACTTGAAAATTGATGTCCTCGCAAATTTCTACACAGTAAACGGGGGAAAAGGATACCGAAAGGTACGGCCTTTAAGACGTAAAACGTCTTGAAACAATTAATTCGTAGATAAGAAAATATATATCGAAAAAAATTCCCGATAAACACAGTCCTTTGCGGGAAGATTTTAAATTTTACATCTTAAGGTATATTTTTGCATTTCGTAATCAAAATGATTAACAAAAACGCTCCATTTATGTATAACGTCAATGTTTGGTGTTCTATACAAAGTTCTTGGTTATTGAGTTCATACTACATCATATATAGGGTGAACTAAATTCTGTTCAACATTAATTTCGTGATACTGAACCTTTCTTATTTCATTGTCTCCATTTTGGACACACACTGACCTTTTTCACATCTGCTGACTTTTACATTACTGGGTTCCATATTTTCGCAATACCACGCATCATCGCTTCGCCTACAGCTCAATCCTTTGTCGCACATTGCATCTTCCTTTTCCAGAGGCTCTCTCCTGCACGCTTCTCCTATGTCTTTAAGACACACATCACAGCAACCACACTTATCTTTCGCCACAGCGGTTTTACAGTTATTGACTGAAGGACATGCGTATTTAGGATCTGGACAGTCCCCTGCGCTTTTACACCAGCACGCAGGGCAGTCTGGGATTGCTGTTGGATTCCGTCGTGAATTGATGAATGTTACAGACACCAAAAGTAAAATGGTCAATGTGACTGTAAAGATTTTCATTGCTGCAGTAAACTAAAATAAAAGCAAGTTCAATGATGTCAATCAATAAGAGCCGGTACTCCAAGATAATTTCCTTTTTCCAATTATCCTGTATCTCCCCCTGGTACCCCCAGCTTTAAACAGTGCTCCAGAACATCATGGATGATGTGAATTTTTTCTGGATATCATCATCCAGTTTTTCTCAAGCCTTTTTTCTCAACTGTCTTTTTCTTTAGAAGCTTGAAATGACTTGTTTTGTGACTGTATATATTGACAGATAAGCTCGGAAAAAGTGGAACGAATCACTCTTGAATATCGTTTGTGGACGTGGCCAATACGATATTTGGTTGCACGAAAGAGAGTTTTTGATTACCAAAGTCAATTGGGTGACGAAAGGAATATGATTACGTTTGTCATCAAATGACCGGCTTAAAGGAAAGTTTCAGTTTTACTGGAATTTTCGTTAAGGAAAATTTAATTTAACTGAAAGCCATTATAAGAACGATATAACGTCCAGTGCATGGCTCAGCTGCCAAGTACTGTAATAATTTTTAAAACATAATCAAATTTCTTAACTAATGCAAAGTCCGTATTCTTTGCTAACAGTAAATTTTCAGTGTTCCCTCAGTTACTAAAACGCATCCATAAAAGGGATATCCGCTATCGTCACTACCGATATTAGTAGCATTTCCCCAAATCAGTTAAACAATTCACAATGGCCTCAGTTGTGTTTAAACAAGGAATTGTACAAATGTATGTAAGGATGTGTACCATGTAAAAATTTTACCTCAATGACCCCGCAAACCAACCGACTTCAAACCATGCAGGCTCCAAACTAAAAGTTTACACTGTATAAAGTTTTTTTAAACCGGAGCAGTTGAAACAAATTTAGAAGGGACGTTGTGATAACTGATATACACCAGTACCATTTGATCAAGAGAAGACACCGCAGGAACAGCGCCAAAAACAGCTTAATATACACATGCTGAAGATAAACTGGGCGTAGTATATTGAGCTGTTGCTGGTGCTGATTAAAATCATCCTCGATCTCAACACAGATTGAACGTAAGCTACACAAGGCATTTTATGAATATTTTCACGATCCATGCCATTTTCTATTGAACAAGTATTAGTTTGACCAGCTTTAGCGAATTGAAAGAAAAATGCGAAAGACTGTCTAAGCAATAACGTTCCTGTGCTAAGCCACAACTTTCGTGTTTTGCCGGGAGCAGCCGAACGTTTTTGCTACGCGAGGTATACTTATGATTATTCAGACGGTAGTCTTCAGAACCGAAAACGCTCCAGTTATTTCAGTCACACAAGGGCATGCTCTCAAGACTGTGGAGAGAATTCGTCATCAGTGGTGGAAAGTTAGCTATGGCCCCTTCTTTGTATGCGTTTATGGCGTTTGGGTGTTTATGCTTCTTTTATCCTATCGGTTAGGATGCTTAGTAAAGTGCACTTAAAGTTTGTAAAACAAACGAGTAAATGATCAAACCTCTCCCTTAAGTGAGGCGCTACTGGAGAGCCTAGAGATCTTTTTTCGCTGGTGCAAGGGGCCACTGATTCTAATCGTGCACCGACTATTACGAATAAATCAACAAAAGTCATCTCACCTTTTCCCACAATCACTTGCTTTTAACTAAGTCATTCAAGCACCCTTAAGAGAACTGTTTTAGCTCCAGATACTATAATTACATCGACGTGGTCCTTTTCATATCAGAGAACCTTGTAATGTAATATTGAACTTGTCAAAAGGTTATTTCATTCCGATAAACGTGACAAGTATATTTCATACATTTAGTCCATCATAGGAAAACATCTGGTATCCATAATTTCTCAGAATACTGGGCAATCTGCTGTCTGGGTGACGCTGAATATAAACTATGCCAGGAATAATACCCGACAAGAGAGAATGATTCTCTCTTGTACCCGACTGATAGTATTTATCCCAGGCATATTTTGGAGCTGGGTTTTCACAGACAGTTTGCTTTTGTCAACAGTTCCATTTTGACCTTGTTATCTACTCAATCGTTGGGTGTGGAAAATAAAACTGACGCATATCTTATTTTGAATCTGTGAAGGTCACAAGATAAGTTCCTTAATCCACCTTTTAACTTTACGATTTTACTTCACAACAGCGAAAGATTGTTGCGTGTCCACAAATCTTTCATCATCATCATAAAAAACAAAACAAAAGATAACTCAGGGTGACTTAACTGGATGTTTATAGCAACAATACCCGTCTTACAATTACAGCATGTTACAGCATTTAAGCCATTAGTTAGTTAATTTTGTTTTATGATGATTTAAAATCAGCTTACAGGTCCATCTAATGTAGTCGAGTCTCTAAGCTGAAGCAAGAAAATGCTTGAGATTGAAAGATTTCCGCTGAGTGAATATTGCCCTTGTCTTAACAATTATGGTCATGTGACCACAGTAAATGGACGAGTTGTTGGCAAATTGTTTTTGTGTTGTTTTTACAAAACAAAAGAATATTATTAAATACATTTTCACTAATGGAGAAAAATAATTTCTAATTTAATGCCTTTGGTTTTTCTTAAAATAACTGTTAAAGCTTGAATGTCGAACCTCACGGTGATTATGAGCGGTTTGATAAGCGTTTAGTAGCACTATTAAAAGACGTAGTAGTTTTTGTTTCCTTATTAGTTTAGTTTTGCATATGGCGCGAGGTTAAAAAAAAATTGCCGCGTAATACTGAGGCAGCAAAAAAAGTACCCATAAAATATTTTGCTGGAATTTTAGTACAGGAAGCAAACTAATATCTAAATTGATTGATATAGATTTCAGCCCGCTATGTTGTAAATAATTTAGACAATGCTCCAGTATATATGAACTGAAAGAGAAATCATTGAAGACACGCAACAACAATTTTTTTTTTCTACAGTGATTTACCCATTTCTGCTGGCGTGTTCCCGGCAATGAAGGCCGGATATACTAATATAGATGAAACCCTTTTTGACTGATTCCATTTATGATAAAATTCTCTTGAGGGCTGAGCATAGTTTGATGATAAAGTTTAAGATAAAGCTTCACAATGAAATTCCAGACTGTTTTAGTTCGTCAAAAATGCTGCGGTCTGTTCAAAGTATTGCCCAAGAGCAGCGATTAAGTTATATTAGACCCATTTGTTTGTTTCATCCTGTTTGTAACTATCACCCTGAAATGAGAATTATGCATTTATGCCAAAAAATTTTGATATAAAACTTTTGTCCCACTATATCTGTGTTCTAGTTGTCGCTTGCAACCCCCCCCCCCCCCCCCCTTTTACAAACATTTTTTTGTTTTTTCTAATAAAAAAAACACCAATAAAAAAACACCTCTTTTGAAAAACTATCCTATTATAATAAAAACTCTGTTTCCACGCACCAGGATCACACAATCAAATTTTCAATGCAAAAAACACAAAACCCACCATTGTTACCCCTTTTTTTTTTTTCTTCCTTTTTTTACTCTACCACTGAAAAATAAATTTTAGGTTTTGTCCCAAAAAATTTTTTAAAAAAACTTTTTCCCCCCTTTTTTGTTTTTTTTTTTGTCCCTTCCCCCCCCCCCCCCCCCCTTTGCAATTAACTTATTAAGGTTTTCGTAATAACAAGAACACTGAATAAAAACGGCTTGTATGGACAAATTTACCGTGTAATGACAAAACGTTGTCGGGCAAACCGGCGAGACAAAAAAGGAATTTTAAGAAGTAAAATCTACGAACGCTCTCATTCAAATAGACAGGGTACATACCACAAGCAGAGCTGTCAGAGTATTGGACAATATCCGTGCAATATCGGCGTCAGTATCTTTGGGTAAAGCTGGCTTCTGAGTTTCCGCTTTCTTTCAAATAATAAAACTAAACACACTAAACAGCCTTTTGCGCACTGCACATCGTCCTTCTCAGTCTGGCTCAGTAGTGTTAACACAAAAGAGTCGTCAGCGAACTTCAAATTATAGATGATATGAAGATCACAGACTAAATGGGGTCACAGAGATATTTCCTTTCTTGTCAAAACTGTCTGTCAGACCCCAATGTGGTATTTGTAAAGTTTATGCAAGTAAACACGGTGCTTTTAATCTTACAGTAGCCACAAAGAGTAACGCTAAGGACACTTAACTCAAAACTGTCTCATTCCTTGTCTCATTTGCGTTTTCCCTTCTATAAGACTAACAATCAGGCTTTCGAGTAAGATAGAACTTCAGCAGATAGCTTTTTAAAACTTAGATCAAGAGCAATGACCTTTCCCTAAATCATTTTCTGATGATATTCATCTTGAAAGTTAACGTAAAATAACTCTACAACACGATCGTATGACGGTACAATTTATCTTCAACCTATTCAAAGCTTCCCTTTTTTTGAATCGATGCCTCTTGGTTTAGAAACAGGGGATGTCACTCTGGAAAGGCGGACCATTTCCGCCACTGATTTTAAGTGCTATTTTCAAAGTTCTAGTTCAGTTTTCTTGTTTGAAGTTTAGTGGTTCCACAAGGTTCAAATAACAATGCACCGCTGCCGGTAAATCAACTATGATAGGGAGCTTTCGCAACGTAAACGTCACTATTAAAATGAATGCGCATAATTTTTCAAACGTCGCCGCGACTCTTGCAAAAGTCTCAGGTGGGTGAAAGTTCCAGGAGCTGAATTCCTAGGGACCGCACCCAGATTAAGAAAGAGAAAGAAATATGACTTTTTATCACATGTCATTCTTAGGGACCCTACGGTCCGACGATGGCGACGCCAGTGAAAGCCGCCCGTCACTACATTAACTGACTTCGGGTCCTTTCAAACTTTTTCGCGATTATTCCAACACGTCCAGACTTTTCAAAGCTGGAGCGGAGAAGAGAGGACTACTTCAGAGCTCAAATGGATACTCGCTTTGTTTGCCGTGCACGTTCCCTAGAGAAGTTCAAATTTGGTCATTTCACGTTGTAGTTCGACAATTTTTCTTTCTGTGACGTTCCAGTTACCGTCACCGTTGAAGTTTTGTAAGGTCCCCCATTTTCTCCACAGGGAACCCAGGCTCACAAGAAGAAGGACCCTCGAGATCGCCCCCTGTAAGGCAATCCAAAACAGTGGATTGTGGATTCCGGATTCCAAAGCCCCGGATTCTGGATTCCACAAGTAGAAAATTTCCCTTATTCCGGAATCCGGATTCCCTTAATTTTGTGGGGCGACTCGAAGTCAAATTATAAGATTTTCTAGACTGCAAAACAGTCGGTTTTTTTCTCAAAATCAGTAAAGAAATCGGTAAAGCGTGGCGTAAGAGTCTTACGCGCCGAAGCGCCCGAGCCTCACAAAAAAGACATATTCTTAGCGTCTCTCTCCAGTCTCGCTCTCTGTTTTCAGCCTCGTTCCAGACCTTTTGTTTGATTGCTCGCGCGTACTTGAATACGCAAAAATACGGACTGTTTTGCAGTCTAAGGGTTTTCCGTTTCGCTGCAACAAGGTACTGCCATTTTAAAATACATACCTTATAAAGAGATGTCTTTGTGTTGTTTTCTTACTGTTCTCCTGCACTATGAACATTACAAGTATAATATTGATCTTCTGGTTCTCTAAGGAAAACTAAAAACTCGGCATTCTTGTACTTTCTTATTTACTTTTGTTTTTAACAAACATCTAGGGTTTGAATTCATTTTTTTTCAAGGGTAAATGAGCTGTCTAACAGCTTTGAAATTGAAGTTGTAATTGTAAGTAACAACCGGGCGGTGCCTTGCATGGGACTAGGGTCCCGTTTGCACTTGCCCTTTTAGGGATCAACAATTGTTTTAAATTATCCTTGTAACTATAATTGATTACTTTTATTTCTTTAAGTATATGTCGTCTTGAAAATTCTGTCATGATTGCATTCTTGCCCCAATCAGGAGCAATCCCCAATAAAGTGTCAAAAAAAAAAAAGAATTCATCAGAAAAAGCTCAGAAATTCACCTTCGTTCGACTCAAATCGCTCCCTTTCTTTGTAGGCCGTAGACCGAAGACTCTCCTTCCCAAAGAACGTCAATCTAGTTCCAAACATTGAGCCGTTCGTTAACCGTAGCCCCGGAGGGGGGACACCGCTTATGAAAGGGGTGGGGATGCTCGTCGGAATTTTGAATTAAAACCCTAAAGGAGACCGATCTGGGCGTGGCCTAAGCTTTATTTGACCCCTAAAAGAGACCATGTTAAAACACAGACAATATAAATATTTTTGTATTTTTTCACGTGCAACCCTAAACGAGACCTTCACGGCTAAATATGATGGCATTTTGCCCAGAACACCCTAAGTGAGACCAAAATCCGAAATTTACACGCCTAAGCGAGACGACGAGCATCCCCACCCCTTTCTTATGCGGAGTGCCCCCCCCGGGACCGTAGCCTAAAAAAATTTGAACTTGGCGCTTGGTTTTTTTTCCTTGGCTTATTAGCTACGCCGTACGGTCAAAAATCCCTTGACGGGGAGGAATATGGGTAAAATCAACCCCGGCAGGTAGATTTTACGAAAAAGCTATGTAAATTTTTAACAGAGCAAGCGACAAATTTTCGCTTGCGACGTGCCATAGCTGTACACCAAACCCCTGATCACGTCGTTGAATTTCATCAAACTACTACCAGAATATTTTAGTTAATATTTTAATATCTTGTGTCAAATAAATAACCAATTACATAAATAAAACTTAAAAATAAATATACATATCACAGGTATTGCTTATGTCACATAAAGATAGGATTTGTACTTAAAATAGGAAATTAAATTAACATATTTGCAAATTTTCATAAAAAAAGTCAGACTGTACGGTGCAAAACTTTTTGTGCACAAATCTTTATCCAGTATAAATTTTATATACTTATGTGTGTTTTTAAAATACAATGTGGATCACGAATTCCACTATAAATAAAATATTTTCTGATCCCAAGCTGGTTATTCCATAAGCTCCTTTTCGTCTTGAGATATGTTGCCTACAGGATTACTCTCCTTTCATGCAGTCTGCTGGCAGGAAAAAAGAACCGTTAATTGGATATAACAACCCCTTTCTACACCTTTGTGTTTCCTAAATAAACAAGGTAACTAAGGCGTGGTTTTGTGCCCACGTTGCACCCACAGATAGCCTCTGGTAAAAGCTCTCTCTAGTCAGTACAAACTATACTAAACCATCTTTTCCTCCGCTGAAAAATAAGATTGCGAACAAAATTTGATCTGTAATATCTTGGCATGCCCAACATTACACAAATCAAATCAAACTAGCCGTCTCCTACAAAGAGAATTCTATGTCAGAGGTTTGACTGCATTATAAACAACAAAATATTTCTCTGCGCAAACGTAATGGACACAACAACCATAGGCCTCGTTTGTTTTTATTACTCTTTAGATCTCTTAATTACCTGTTGCGATCGCCAGAATGTTATTCCTTTATGTTATTAGATTATTCTCTAACTTTGCGAAGTTTTCATCCGCGGTTAGCCTTCCTGCTCTATGAAAAAACTTTTCCGGACACATTTCTCGTGCAAAACACCATTTCCACTCCGGACGCTTTTTAAACTGATTTTATTGTTTATTTACACCTGCTCTGGCAGTACGATTTGAACTGTATCTGAAACCGTGCTTGATCTGGCGGCGCGGCGTGTAAAATACCTGACGTAGTGCCTATTTCAAGGTGTGCAAATGGAGTAAGTTATTTCAGCCTTGATTATTTTTTCGAAAAAGAAGTCAGGATTTTTCGCACGTGCTAATGGTTTTATCTTCTTTACGTTTACAGTTTTACTTAAGCTTGTTATTATTGCGGATTTGTCAGGAACTGTTAACCGTGGCTTGCCCTGCTATAAAACAAGAGCGCTTGACTACAAAGCGAGGGTTGGCGGCTTCAATACCTCGGGGACGGACCAATACTGAGGGTCTTAAAATAACTGAGAAATAAGGAAGGCACTGCCTTCGTTCTGCAAAAGGGTTCAATGGACCTTACTTAATTCTTCTGTAATGACTAAGTGCGTTGACACTTAAATAAATAACCTTTTTGATTTTTTCAAATGCGAGAGGAAAGATTAGTTGGTATATACAAATAACTCAAATAATTAAAACTGTTAATTAGTGTTTTTCTTCGACTTACTTTGTGCTCTTGACTCAAGGACGTTTCGTTTTGCTTTTAGGGCAGCCAGGTAGCTTTGGATCTGTCTGCCCGCACCACCACCATCGTTTGAATCTTCTCGCAGAACGTTTAACTTTTATGTCACGCCGATGAGGTCGCTTTAAAATCACATCTGACAGACTACAAAAAATAGAAGATACAATGTAACTCAGAGGTAGGTCCTGACTGTCGTTTCTCATCTATCTGATTAGTTAATATCGATTGTAACTTTATTAACGGATGATTTTAGTCACTCAAACGTAAATAATTCAAAAGGGGTTTAAATGGAAGAAATGTTCGAAAGGGATTGCCCTTTTAAGCGCTGAGAAAACAGTCCCTCAACTTAACCTGTTCTTGTAGATGGAGCAGATTTGCTAATCCATGATCTCAGTTGTATTTACTTTTCTCTTGGTTTCAATTGTCTCAAATTTAAAATGAAAGCTCCTACTTATGAATGAAGCTGCACACATTCAAATCACAAAGAATTTAGATAAAAAATATCCTTTACCTCAGTTTTTTATTAGCTGCGTTTGCTTTCATCTCTTCTAGCCAAGCTTTTTCTGGGTGTCCAGCAGTCGTTCTGAACAACATAATTAACACAGCGACGAATGCGGCAAACATCACAGTCTTTTTCATTTTGGTTGAAGTCAATTCACGGTCTCACACTCTTTCTTTCGAAGTTGTTACTGTTATGACACTACAAAAGATTGAAATCTGCGTCGTCTTATTTATAGTTTATAACTTCGAGTGCATGGTGACGTAAAGGAATATGACGTGGCAATCCCCCTAAGAGTACAAGAGCATTCAATACTGCGTCTAATCTCCATTGTTGAAAATGGGAAGTTATAGGTAAATAAACAAATTTAACATTATCAAGCAGCTTTTAATGAAGAAACAAACCAAGTTGCTCCTCTGAAAGATGCATTAAGGTTGACTTAAGTTGTTCTATAGCTTTCATGTTTTAAAACATTTGAGACACCACGCCTGTAGCCGGATATACGTGGGGAGGAAAATAACGTTCCGATCTGCTTTCCTTTCTGCATTTGCGTAACGGAAAACCTGTATGCTTCAATGAAGCTGAGCAAAATATTTTTATCACCAGGAAAACATACTTCGTTGTTAAATTTTTAACGACAAAGCACCATTACCTAAGATTTGCAAAATGTTTAATGAGATGTCCTCTTCTAGGCTATACTGACACTTGGTCCAATTACTTTGGCAGCTGAAACAGGTGTTGTGTGAGAAGTGTAGTGTTCTGAAAATGGGACATGCGGCGTTTTTCTGCAAAACGCAATCCTTGCATTCCCCCCCCCCCCCCCCCCCCCCCCCCCCCCCCCCCCCCCCCAGCCCCACAACCTTTTTTTTTTTTTTTCTTTTCTTTTTTCTCCCTTTCTTCTTTTTTTATTTTTTAGCATAGCCACCTCGAACACACTCGAAGACCAAAGCAAAGAAGTGGAGGATGAGCAGCAGCACAGAAGAAGTGAACAAAACAAAAGAAATATTTAGTATTGTAAATATAATTTATGATGAGGCAGTGAAAATTTTTAAAAATGTTCCTCTCTCAGGGTTAATTGTACCTTGGGCCAAATTTTTTGGGGCGGAAAAAAGTTGGTTGTGTGGAAGGTTTGGTTTTTGAAAAAGGGGAAGGGGGGGTTTTTTTGCCAAAACCCAACCTTTCTTTCCCCCCCCCCCCCCCCCACCCAAGCAGGCAGCCGAGAATTCACAATTTTTTTATTTTTTCAACTTTACATTTCGTTCCATCTCACGCGATTGAAGGGAAGTGATCGGTCAAACGACCTTAATACGCGCTAAGGGAAGAAATGATTTAGTGGGCTAAAACGAGCTGTTACAGAAAGGTTACCTAAAATTTCTTGGAATTTTTAGTAAAATATATTTAGTTGCGGGAGCAGGGCGCCATGCCCTTTATATTGCTTTCTTTCTTTCTTCCGACAAGAAAGAAATGTAACTCAATATTCAGTTCCTTTTAAATTAAAATAACCTTCCTTAGGCTTTTGTTTCTCTTCTTTACCATAAACCACAAGCCAAGTATCGAGTCAATTAGCCGGATAGGGATCAAATATACCTCGAGGAGGTCGGTACTAATGAGACTATTGGCCTGAAAGCAGAAAATGATTAAATACAAAGGAAGCAAGTAATTCTTTGCAAAATTCTGAGAAAGTAAAATCAACATTGATACGGTATTGAGGTGATGACCTTATTGACAAAAAGAGTGCTCAAAGATTAGTTTAATCCTGACTCTGTGCATGTTCCACTTCCACCAGGCGGAAAGACGTATCTTCAATGTATGAAAAACATATTAATATTAAAATATTAAAACGAAGAAACAAACAAAGAAAGAAAATACAGTTTACGCGCTATTCTTCAACGACTTCATTATTCCCCATCCTGTACCTCGAAGCGGCCACTCTTTTGAATTGAATTGTGGAAATTTGTCAAGTCTCCCAAAACCTTCGATGAATATAGCTAAAAATGCAGTGACGTGAATGTAATTGTTTCTAATGGGTGGGTATACTGCGATATTCCTTTGAGCAGTACCCTGAACCGACCAAGAATATCCACCAGCAACGGGGCAGAGAAGGTGGAACGAAACGCCGCGATTCAAAATAGCGATGCTTGCGTGTGGTTCTTTGTTTATTTGTTTACCTTGACAGCCAGGATGTGTAGTCAAAGAAACTAGTACGTTCCAGCGAGACTTAATCTTGTTACATTAGTTTCGTCTCATTATCATATATACATCCCTTTTTCCGGTTTTATGCCCGCCCTGGGCAACTCCAGTGTAATATAAATTGTCTTTGTTTAGGCCAGGAACGCTAACGCGACCTATTCTTTAAATAGAATAAACAGCCACAAACTCAGTGAAGTCTTTATATATGAGTGGAACAGTTTCGTGTTCAATTTGTGCTGTAGCGTTTACGAGAGGAATGAATGTTCACAACAAGCTGAGGTTAAATGGTGTATTCACAGCCTGTTCATTATTGTACTTGACTAGTCAATATTGCTTTACGCATAGCCATTCATCCCATTCCATTTGTTTCATATTTTATTCAGTGATGGACAAGACATTACAATCAGTATCTACGCCTTATATGGGTCCGAAGGGACGTTGACTGTTGTTCCATGATATTGAATCAATTAAAAATATCATTCTTTCAGCTAACTCAGCTAATTGTATCATAATTATAGATCATCTATTTATATGGAATGATAAAAACTAAAAACAGCTGAACATGTAGTATGAATCTTTTATCAATTAACTGGGAGTGCAGAACACAAAATTTTAAATAGTATAATAATAATAAATTTATTTGCTTATATATCAGATCTCCACTGCACCAAGGAAAGTTACAATTTTCCTAATGTGATCATATATAGATTGTGCTCAAAAATGTTGAAAGAGTTGTGAAAAAACGGGGTCAAATGTTACTCAAAAGTTGCCCGAAAATGAAAAAAAAAATGCTCCAAAATTTCAAGAAGTTGCTCATCAACAGTTAGCCACTTTATTCACATAACAGCTTTAAACAATATACCGGTATAATGTTGTTTGACATGATTACAAGGATTCATTTATTGGTCGGCCACAAAATCAGCACTTCCTCTTGTAACTGAAGATACTCATATTAAATGTTATCAGCCAGGCGTTAAACGTCATGATTAGATCAGTTACAATACTATTTCATATAGCGTTTTAGCATTATTGTATCTGATCATGACAGAAGGCTCTCTAGAGATAGTCTTCAGGGCCCGGTTGCATAAAACCTACATTTAAGTGCCCACTTAAGTAGGTCACTTATGAATTCGTTATGGGTACACTTACGTGTGTTGCATTGAACGCACTTAGCACTCTCGTAAGTTACTGTTTTACGTGGTAACTTACGGACTCACTTAAAAGCAGACGTAACTTTGATACAGTACTTTATTAATGACTCACTCTTTTTTTTAAGCTAGCCACCGGTGAGTGTAAAGAAAGTTTTAAGTCGTTTCGAACACTTTTTATCCTCTCAAAAAATAAAATTTGCATG